GCTAAATACCTCATTTAACTGTGACAGCACGTCGCGCTGCCAAACGGCTGCATCAACAAAGTTTGTAATCCTGATTTTTCAACCAGATTTTTTTTCATGAAAAAAAAACAATGCAGCACTAGAAAATGCAGCGACAGCAAGGCAACTAGGCAAATGTCATGAAAGCAATCTCGGTTTTGTCAAATACATTTGGTTGTGCTTATTTCGAAGGACCGCTGTCAAAGTATTAATGATTACCCGCTCGATTTTGATTTACTTTACCTTCTTACTACTTTTTGTTTTAAACTTACTAGCCCGGGGTCTCTCCAGAAATACAGACACCTAAACGCTTTCAACACTCGATTATTATTTCCATGCGAGGTGAGTGGCTTTAATTGACTAACCTAAGCCACCTGAAATATTAACCCCACAAATTTCGATCGGGAGATATTCTCCTTGAACTAGACCGATGTTCTGGAGAATGTACAGAACTTGACAAAAACCAAGTGAAAGCCACGATAGTCAAGTTTTCATTTAGTCGTGTACGAGACCACAAAAAAGTATACTGTGATGTATTACACCACAGCAACCGATCACCATTTAAGAGATCTTAGACCAATTTATACGTCACATATCCTCGAATTATAATAAATTAGCTCAACACAATAGGCTAATGCCTGGGATAACCCTCTCGAAACCAAGTTATTTCTTTTTTTGTGACGAGTCATTATGAATGATGAAAAACGAACCACAACGGTGATTTATTGCCAACCAGCGCCAAAAGCCGATCTGCGTCAGCAGATTGCGCCGACAGTTTAGCGAAGTACTGCGGAGAGACGCATTGGCACGTAGTAAGATGAACAAGTGGCAGTGAATCACAACCGTGCTGCCGACCTTACACCAATGCCGTTTATTTGAATATACACAGATGTTAATCAATACTCAAACACAAGTTCAAATGACGAACACTGACTTTCGGACGATCGGAAAAGTTCCACACAGGAATATGTTGGCTAGTATTGCTTCCGCGTTAATAGAAAACAAAATTATCTTCAAATGCACACACATACACTGTTGCTAGTATTTGAACAGACAAAGTGACAATAGGAAATGATCTAGGGCAGAGCAGTAACAAAAGGGTGGGACGTTAGATAAAAATTAGCGGTTTTACCCGTGGTAGGGCATTAATTACATTCACTATCACTAGTGCCTTCCCGTAGATTTTCTTTAAAAAAAGCAGCCGCCAATGCGATTGTCTGATTTATGGCTTCGAGGGTGCCTTGATCGTTCAGATCTCCGCGTGCAGACGCGAAACCGTGACGCTCCTCGGTAAAAGTGTAATACCTGAAGGAAAGACATAATCAGGTGAGAATAATGAGATTGACGTCAATGCTTGCATCAATCTGCAAAAATCAGACTCTAAACTACTAAAAAAAATGGTGAGCGCAAGTCGGAAGAGCAGAGGCTAACAACTTTAAGAAATTTGATGAGAAAAAGATGTGGCGAAGTAAGACAACATACACAAAGTTAGCTGTCTTTTTTCCTCAAAAACTGATCTCAGATTATGTTTAATAAGGAAATAAACGAATGAAAATCATAGTTTCGTTACAAAGTGTGCAAAACCCTACTAAAACCAGCCGTTTTTAGGTTTATGAAACAATGCCATTAAACTAACGACGTGGAGTTAAAAAACGAAACATTAACTAATTAGGCAGGTTCCTATGTAACCAAGCACATATTCGCGAAAAATCAGGAAATTTATTTACATAACACAAGTAAGCCAACATGATTAATCAGCATTAGAGATGGGGCAAATAAGCAATCAAAAAACCACTGTTCCGTCGAACACAGTTCGATGACATGTATTGGTACAAGAACTTAGCTTGATACTAGTTCGTTAAAAACCAACGAGGAGGGAACAGTAACCAAAGACAACGAGACCTAACAACCTAACATAAGCAGAAATGAACTCATGACAACGGCACTTAACCACACACGAAATTGGGATGAGGCGCAGCGTAAGGATAGTGGACCAAATGCGATAAGTGGAACCGAATACGGTTTCGGAAACGCCAGCCGAAGTAATGATTACCTAGATTAGGATGCTCAATTAACATGGTGAGGCACGACGCTGCAGTTTTCAGATACGCAAAATCCTATATCACAGGCTACAAACGCCAAATCTTGAGCAAACGTAAATCGAATTGTTTGGCTTTGCACACGACCTCCAGCATGGTTTGAGAACCACACAGCGTTAAAGAGGGTACTGATTTAAAATAGTTGAAACAATAAAACAGCAAAATTGAATTTCAACATAAAAAAAATAGACAGAGGACACTGAGGAAACAGTAGTAAATAGGGTGGCGGCAAATCAGGGCAAAAGAAATAATGAATGTTCAGAATCAAAGTTAATATACACAGCGGGACCGAAAACACCATTACGAAGCAAACACACCCAAATATAATAATTATACATAACTAGTCTGCATCAGAAGCAAGAGCATCGATATAATTAATACATTGTTGTGAATACATTTCAGACGTTATTAACTGTGATGATAAAGCTATACCAACGGACGACAGATCTGTGATAGTATTAGACCCACTCAATCTAATCAGGTGGATCAATTCAACTCGGCGTGACTTCGGCTAAAAGGCAGGAAATGAACTAACTAACTACCAGATAGCTTTAGAAATGCGAAAAGAACGACATTTTATTGCACAGACCTGCACAAGGTTTTTAAAGCAGTAAAAAGAAACAGCAATCAGTAAAAAACGTAAAAAAAAGATCCAAACGGAGCATAAAGCAAGTTCGTTGATTGCACTGGCAAGCAGACAGAGTGAATGAAAGCAAATCTAAGTAAGCATTTCGAGCCACGGTTGAATTCATGAAATTATGCCGTCACGTGGTGTGCGCACATACAAAGGAACACTTCATGCAACTGAGCCTACACGGCAGTCGTATGGTACACGAGAACAATTGGTTAAAATACTACATAGGCCAAAACCATTGAAATGAAGTGTAGATCCACAAATACATAAAGCCTGCGCCAAACTAGATGTTTCTCTTAGCATACTTTTAGAAAAAAAATTAGCGAAATGATTGGACGGTCAGTTACCATAGGCGAACTTACCTGCACTTATCCCCGAAGGGTCGTTTGTCAAGAATTGCCTTAAGGGGGTCAATAGGAGGATCTTCGCCAGAGGGCATAAAAAACAAAGGGACGGATATATTTTTTGCATCATCAGGGGTAATCATATATCCGTGAATAGAAACCCCAGCTAAATACCCGAGGGTCTTGTCGCTGCAGGCACGAAGCACTTGTTTACCCCCCCAGGAAAATCCCAGGATGCCCATTTTATCGCGGTCACCTTCAGGCAGAAGACCTTGGACGTAGGTATTAGCAGCACGTAACAACTTAAAGAAACAAGAACAATACCTTAATTCATAAATCAATCAGCTAGCTGTAATAGACCAAAGAGAAAAACCTACGGGGAAAACGACACTCCAGGACCCATTTTTCTCAAGCCACTCACTGAAAGCACTAGGTTGTTTTGGAGGAAAGTCCGTCAACGGCCACGGTTTGCCACGAAAGAAGTCAGGCATAATGACGTGGGCGTTGGCCTGATCAGCGAGCATATCAGCAAAGCGACGAGTGTTAACTATTTCAAACCCGAAGGCGTCATAGACTAGCACAATACCCAGGTTTGCAGGAGTCAGACCAGCAGGAGAAACTAAGTACGCCTGGTCGCCATTTGCTAAAGCAACCTCCTTCCCTCGTGTTTTGTATGACAACGGAGCAACCGTTGGATGCTCCGAATCGCAACATTTATTGGGTCCAGCACCGCGTACGCTCGACGAATCAGCCATTTCTAAGCAAATATGACACCTGGAAAATAAGACGAAGTAACAATCATTTGACCGTTTAGATACCCGGCATTCGGTTAAACACTTTAACACCGATATTCCACACCATAAGGCAGGGAATAAAAACGAGACTACGAGAACAGCTGATTGTGGAACCAATAGCTCACTGAGCACAATCAACAAACATATACAGCAAATGTGGAGTAACGGGAGAAATATTATGTATTATTATAGACCGGTTTGAAAGTACAAAAAGAATAACTAAAGGTCGCGAAGTTCTGCTGGGAGCTCTGCTTTGGGATGCTTGCTCTCGAAGTGCATCTTGTATGTTTTGGGATCAGGCATCTGTGTTTTGCAAACGCAACAAGAGAAGGCCAATTTCGCATCCGCCGACTTTTTATTATCAGATGGATTCTTTTTGGCGTTTTGCCTTTCTTGATTCTTCTTTTGCGATTGGATCTTCTGAAGTCCCCGTGCCATATCAGGAAACGCCAACCCGCGCAATGTAAACAATGCGTTTGAATGAAATGGGAGAACTATTAATTAATCTAAAGAAAACACACGACCTAAATTTCTGAAAAAATGTGGATACAAAAATTTTGAAAAAAACTGTCGCGAAAAATAATATCCAATGAAGCAAAATCGCATTAGGTTGTAAGATGGAATATTTACAGTGCAAGCTCAAATATAAGGCAAATTTGGAGACTCTTCAACATCAATTGCAACCAATGTCCGTTTAATTTAACACGTTGTAATTGTTTATTTAATATATTCGCGAAAGTAGGACAATGTGTCCTCTTGCTGACGATATACAAACCCATCGTTTCATGCCTGTAACAGTTTACATTTAGTGGTTTAGTGGTCGTAATTTAAAACCGAAATGTAAAGAGATGCATGGGGCACATTTTGGGCAATTGTTAGCATGTGTTCCATCAACAGAAAATTACAGGCTACATCTGGAAGACACATTCAATGGCTCCAAGAAATTCGCATTCGCTTCCTAAGTCTGTCGTGCTTATTGATTAAAATGCATGGTTCCTAATGACTGCAATTAGAAAAAGCTCCACCCTACCAACATTGACGAGATTATTCCGTTGCATTAATTTGTGGAATCCCAAATCAGTTTCAGAAGAAAAGTCTACATAAAATATCGTATGCACGTGCGGCGATTAACACACGAACATAGTACCTAAATGTAAGAGAACACGACTTCAGCTTATTAATATTAGTGTGGTTTACGTTGCGACACTGTTTCAGAGTTTGAAGGTCGAGGAATTATCTTAAAATAACGCGTTTTAGCGCTAAATATCTACACTTCAAATCAATCAATAGAAGAGCAAATTGTAAGCATTCGATTTTGTTTCTGTTTTTAATAATTCATCCTTTGTCTAGTCCACAGCAAATACTATTAACATGACCAAGATAAAGCTTTTTCATTATGCTCTTTATATTAAATGGTACCTTGCCTTAAGGTCCTAATGATTTTAGGTGAGTTTTATGAGGTTAACATTAATATTAAATATCACTGTACCTAAAATAATGATACAAAATGTACCTATGGTTATCCACTGCTATTTCTTTAAGTGTTACGTTAATAGGCGCGTATGTTGGATTTCGCGTTCTTCGGGGCTTTATGTGTTCTTTTCAGTTGTTCTAATTTAATCAGCGTTTTAGATTCGTAATAGCTAAGATATAGTGCATTTTTTGTGTAGATTTTTGGTTTAACCTTGTCGTGAATTTGTCCTTGCATTACGGAATAGTTTTTTTGTTTACGCATCTGAGTTTGCCCTTTCCGCTCGCCCCGCGTTGTGGCAATTTTGCTTACCATTGTCGCCAGGTTTATTTCCATGTCCAGCATTATTTTTCTTTGTTGATCGTAACTAAGGTGGGTCTTGACTATGATTCATTCGTTTTTTGCAACCAGTTAATCTGCTTTGTACTTGCGGGTGGTCCGCTTTTAAGACAATATCCAGCTAATCTGCCGCTAATAACTATACGGTTTAGAACACGCTGATTCCCTGTCATTGAGAAATAGGCTTTTCATTATTTCGGTTTGGAACAATTCGAACCATGGTCGTGCTGTTTTTATTACCCTTATTTTTGCTTTTGAATAAAGTTGACTAGTTTTTGATGTTTAGCGTCTTTAATGTCGCAAGCTAAGTTAGTGTTTGCTAGCTTTAACCGAAGACTGTATCTTTCTCAATGTTTAGGTAGGTAATGGAGCTGGCTCCTGGAGACACATTGCTGCCGACCATAAGCGATGATGACTTGATTAACAACTGTCCTCCTGTCGAAATTCCTCCTGCCGATGTTCCATTCCATCTTGCTGATGACAATGGTGCCCGCTTGGTCATATCTCAAGTTGTCTGTGAAAACTTTAAATCATACGGTGGTCGCCGTGTTCTTGGTCCTTTTCACAAAAATTTCACGTGTATAATCGGCCCTAACGGCAGTGGCAAAAGCAATGTTATTGACGCCCTTCTCTTTGTTTTTGGTTTTCGTGCCTCAAAAGTGCGTTCAAAAAAGCTTAGCAGTCTTATTCACAACAGTGATGAGCTTCCAGACGTTGGCTTTTGCCACGTGGCCGTTCACTTTCGCCGAATCGTGGATACAGGAGGTGGAGCTAACGATTATGAGGTGAGGCTCTTTGTTACTTAAAATCAACTAGCGGTTCTTCGCTTAGGTGGTTGCTGGGAGCGAGTTTGTTATCTCTCGAAAAGCGTTTAAGGACAGCTCAAATTCTTACTATGTGAACGACTGCAAAGCGAGCTTCAAAGAGGTCACTAGCTTGCTTCGTCAACATGGTATTGACCTTGACCACAACCGGTTTCTTATTCTTCAAGGAGAGGTTGAACAGATATCTCTTATGAAGCCTAAAGCAGCTACCGAATACGAAACCGGTTTTCTGGAGTACCTTGAGGTAAGTTTATGATTGATCATATTAACGAAGATTGTTCTTTTCTGTGTCTCAATCGACTGAATATGTCCTTAACTTCTGTTCCTATCAGTAGCTAAAGCACTGTCGTGAATATTTTCAAGTACAGGAATGGGTTCATTACTAATTAGAAGTGCTTAAATTGAAACATGCACAAATCCCATGGGTATATTTGTGGCCTGGGTGCTGGTAGTAGTAATATTTATCCTTACCTACTGAAATATTTGTTTGCATTAATTCTGAATCCTTTTTGGGATGTAGTGTGTTCTTAAGGGTTGCTTTTCTTCTACTCTAATTCGAAGATGTGCAACATAGGCCGTAAAATAATTTGTGGCCTTCGGCCTTGAGCAAGCAAATATGTTGACTTGGTTGGAGCATATAGGTTGTTTTGGATGGAAGCCTGAAGTGTCATTTTGTATTTCCAAATGTTTTGTTCACGACTAAATATTCATGATAAGGACTAGTTTTTTTGTCCCAAAACGAAGGTGCTAAGTCAGCCGCATCGAATTCGAGTATCTAGCAAAATTATTTTTGGTGTTTGTGTTGTTTGTAGGATATCATTGGCTCCAATAGGTTCAAACGGCCTCTGGCAATCTTAGCTGATCGTATTGAACGCTTGAAGGACATTCGTCTTGAAAAGCTGGCTCGAGTTAAAGCGGTAGAAAAAGAAAGGAATGAGCTGGAGACTGTCAAAGAAGAGGCGCTGACTTACCTGCGACTTCTAAACAAAATCACACGCATTAAAAATGTTGTCTATCAAAAGAACCGACTTCAGGAGCTGGCTAGCGAATCCCGGTATAAAAAACAGCTGGCCGATGCTGATGCAAAACTGGAGGTAATTCGCGTTTTCATCTCATTCGTTATTAATTTTGGGTGTCTTGTTTCATGCTTGTTTTCATGTTGTGTTCCTTTTATAAATTATGAGGGCTGTCACGCCAAATTGGTAAAGCTGTGTCTCTTAGTGAGTCATTTGTTTCCCGGTCGTAGTAGGAAAAGATCGTCGCTGTCTGCCGCTTAGGCATTTTTAACACCACTAGCTCTCTGATTTTCCATCGCTATTCGCTCGTTCTCGAAATCTCTTTCCGAAAACCTTAACATTAATCAGCATTCGTGGTGTTCCACAGATGTGTGTTGGTGAATTTTTCGAGCGATTTTGCTCTCCACTCACGGTTGATCGAATTCAACCTTTACCCCTTGATTGTGCATTATTTTAAGAGCAGCGTCTTAAGTTGAGTTTTGAAATGTTTATTTTTTCGTAGGTAATTAAAACACTGATGGTTTGCTTCATTTTCGGATAACTTGTTGTAGAATAAACGCATAATGTTTCGACATTTTCGTTTGGCGATTTTTAATGGCTGATACGTAAGCGTAAAAGCGTTCGCTGTCTCGTCGCCGTACGAAACCGCGCCGAGCGTCTATATGTCGAAAATGTGTGATTAGTGGCTTGGACTATGTTCTCGGTCTACTTCTTCCATACTGTCTTGTCAGTTGGTTTTTGTGAGTTGTTTGCCTGACCAAGTGTAAAGTGCGGTATATTGTCTAGGCTTAGTCTGGTGATTACACTAACTGAGGCTTTGGTAGCTTCTGTCAAAAGGGTTTACGGTTAAATTACCTTATGCATTTACTTTTCTCGAAAAATTGATTAACAGGGCTTTGATACTCGCAGTCTCCTCGTTCGCAGTGACGTTGAATGTGGATGTGTGTGTGTACACGATTTGCAGCCCAGGGGTGTGTGCGTAACCTTCTTTTGGTTCCTGCCTTAGGAACATTCCAGGCAAGTAAAAAGCTTGGTGGAGGAATTGGGCCAATTGAAGGCAAAGCGAGATGCCGAAGATAAGCGTGTTGCTACCTTACAAGAGCAACATCGGGCCGCGAAGGCACGTTTCGCTGGCTACGAGGCCGAGGACAGCCAAATCCGAGATGAGCATGCCCATCTGAAGGCCCAGGGCAAGCGGACCGTCAAGGCATTAGCTGCTGAGAAGAAGAAGTTGGAAGAAGTGCGGCGACTTCCGGTGGAAGCCGAGGACCGACGGAGTACTCTTAAGTCACAACTGGCAGAACTAGAAGCAAACAAAGCGAAACAAGAGGCCATCTACCAGGTATGAAATGACTGCACTCGTGGCAAAACAAGTGACTAAGCGAAATCAAATTGGTAAAGGTTTGTATGCGTCACCCGTCTAGGTTATTGTGGGTAATTGTTCTACATTGGGAAAAGCAGTTTGAGGACATCCTATTGCCTGGGTATTAATCCAGTGCGATTTCAGTCAGCAAGGTAACTGAGAAAATAGGAAAATGAGAAGTGTATGAATAATTTACGGGGCATGTGTGTCACCGGGAATGAATTGAATTTCGGTTATCTAGGAGACAATGGATATCCTTGCAAAGGAAACTGCTCCCCTTCGTAAGAAGATGGAAGCTGCAGAGGAGGCCCTGGCGCCAGTCCAGAAGGCAGCTGACGAAGCGGCCTCACAGCTGGCCATTGCGCGGCAGGAACTCGAACTGGCCATGTCGGCTGTGAAGCGGGAGCAGGAGCGTGCTAATGACGCTCGTGATGGCGCCCGATCCGCTCAAGATCGATTGGCCGAACGGGAGCGTGAGTTGGCTGACTCGTTGAAGCTCACCTCTCCGCACCAAGTCCAGGAGCTCCAGAAGGCTGAGACCGAGCTCACCAAGGCAAAGACAGAAGAAAAGACACTGATAGATCAGGTCAATCAGCTTCGCTCCTCACTGACCGAGGCCAAATCCTCATTCCAGGTGGGCCTAATTCACAGATTTCCTTTTCTGTTGTTAAGTCCACCTGGGACTAGTCGCTGCCGGGGTACCACACCAACGGAAAATTTGTTTCTTTTATGCTAACTGGGGGTTCTCAGAGTGCCTGCAATAAAGTACATTCTCTTAGTAGATTAAGTTTTCATTTAATACTCTCGTGTTGATTTAAAAATTGCTCCTTTGACCCTGGCGTATATCTAGGTGGAATCGGCATCTGCCCAAACAAAGGAGCATACTGCATCTAGCCTGTGTCCGACAGCCGTTGTGTTAACGGCTTCGCACACGCCTCTAGCCCCCAATGACTCCACCACTTGTCACTTACTTTTAGGCCGACAGCACCCGCAATCGTGTTTTGTCTGCTCTCACAACTGCAATGCAGGCTGGTAAGCTTAAGGGCATCCTCGGTCGCTTGGGAGACTTGGGAGTGATTCCACAGAAATACGACATCGCCATTTCCACATCCTGTGGGGCTCTCGATCACATTGTTGTCGAGACGATGGAGTTTGCTCAGCGGGCCGTTGAGTATTTAAAACAGAACAATCTCGGACAGGCCTCTTTCATTGGTGAGTTTGGAATTTTTGACTTCAAGATTTTCAGCCCGTTTGTAAACAGTGGAAACTCCTCCATCGTTTAATCAACCTTACTGGAAAACCTATAACCATATCTGCATAGCTCATGCAAGATTATAAGGTAAACGGGCTCTTGTTGACATAAGCGTTTTTTTTTTCATTCGGTCGGTTTAAACATGCGGGTGAATGTTGCCTTCAACGGTGTATTTTCGTAAAGTAAATCATCCTAACCAGTAAGGCATGCTCGGTGATTTTGAGGTCGTGAATATTCGACAGAGTCTGCAGAGGCCGTCTAGCAAACGCCGATATTGGAACGATGGCTTGCGTTTATCGTTGTATGGAAGCTAGTGAAGGGTTTTTGGTATAGCTCTGGTAGCTGGATGTAATAACCAAAAACATTCGTGTTCGGTTATTGTCACTCTCCCTGCGTCTCGTCACAGACTTAAAAGAAGACTCCACGGTGCCTTCCCCACAAATTCCTGCCTGAGAGCATGTTTTGGAGTAGTATGGTCTTTGCTAGGACGGTGTTTAATTCGCGTCAGGTTGAGTGCACGGGCACGGGTATTCTGAAGTTACGAACCTCTTGATTTCTTTTTAATAAAAAAAAGTGACTACCAGCTCCTCTCCAATATTCCTACCTGTTTGTATTGAGCGCACCACAAGTTGAAGGTCTTGATCCATTGTGTGGCTAAATTGGTTGAGTTTGGTTTGGATCTTGTTAGAATCGGCGATTTGTGGAGAACCAGATGCGAGGGTTGAGCTGGCATTATGGCTGTCGATCTACGAAGCGGGATGATTGGGCGTTTTTCGGGGATGATTGATGCCAACCAAAGATATGCCGTAGCGAAAATATATGTTAATTCTAATCCACTATTCCTTTCTTATGTTACAGTTTGTGGTGTTTCTTGAATATACCGTCTTCAACAATAGCACTAATCCAAGTATCTTCATCTTTGTTGTTGTAAAAATAATTTTACCGGAGATTTTCCTATTGTTTTCTCAACCACTGGCGCTGTTTACCGGCCGCACAAGGATTGACCAGACGTGAGGTCTCACAAGGCAATTCAGTCATGCTTCAATTGCACGTGACTCTTCCACTTTAGGTCTGGACAAAATGCAGCGCTGGGCTAGCGAAGCGACCAGGCGCTTTGTCGGTCCCGTACCCACGGCCCAGCGCCTATTTGATTTGGTTGACACCTCGTCAAATCCTCAAGTGAGGCCCTGCTTCTACTTTGCTCTTCGGAACACCCTTGTTGCCGACAATCTCGACATCGCAGTCGACTGGGCCTTCAAACACGAACAGCGCCACAGGGTTGTCACCCTTCAAGTATGTTGGATCTCATTTTGTTGTTGTAGCACAAGCACTTCGGCTGTCATAGGGTTAAGCAACAAGATTATGGCGTTGGTTTTCCCTTGGCACCAATACTTCCTTGAGGCCTGGGGAAGTATGCATGGTAGTGGCCACTGAACGAAGAACGGTTTGGCATTCTCTCCAGATCTCGCGCGAGGATTTTGGACGCACAAACCACAGGGTTTCATTCTGATGCAAACAACATGTGTACAGACACATCTGGGGGCATTTGCAACGATTCAAATGACTTGGAAAACACTCGTTTTCTGTAGGGTCAACTGATTGAGGCCTCGGGGGCTATGTCAGGTGGCGGCGGTAATCGTTCGATTTCGGGTCGCATGACCACCGACGCGCAGAGGGCCCGTCGGAGGAGCTCAACCGGGCTTTTCACCGAGGCCTCCATCGCCGAAAAGGAAAAAGAGTTGACGACGTGTGAAACTAAACTCGCCGCCACCAAGCAGCGTCGGGAACGGCTGGAGGATGCTGTCACGCAACTGTCACAGTGCATGCAAGAGGCACAACGAAAAGTGACCAAATGTCAGGTATATTTTCTATTCATTTGCGGATTGCTGGTATGTACGCATAAACAGGGGTAACCGGATTTTGGGCCAAGTCAAATGCTTAAAAACCGCAATGAGAAGAGTTCTTTTTTGGGATTTTGTCATAAAATGCGTTAAGTTCTTTGTCGGCATTTGTTTCTTGTTTACCAAGTACGAATTACATTCTCTGGAGTGCTTCTCAGTAAGTTCAAATTCAACTTGATGAAGAACATTAAGCCCCACATTTGCGAATTGGATGGAGTTAGCGATTGTACTCGCGTAAAACCACCGTGCGCTGGTACCTTATTGGTCAAACAGTCTTTCATGGATTACAGTCGAACCGCTTGTTGCTTCTAGAATGAGATCGCTCGCCTTCGCGAGGAGGCGGCCGTTTTGACACGCGAGGCCGACCAGGCGGAGAAACGCGCCGCCAGTGCCGGTCCCACGGCGAAGGAGCGCCAAAAAATGGAGTCCGCTGTGGCCAACCTCGAGAAGCTGCATGCAGCCAAGGCTGAGAAGGCGGACGCCTTGAGGGCGCGAGTGGAAGAAGTCAAGGCCTCGCTTGTTGGTGCCGGCTCTGCTCGACTTGCCGCTGTTCGTTCGCGTGTTGGTCTCGTCGAAAAAAAGATAAAGGAGGTGGGGAGCTGGTTTCCTGTGAACTCTCACACAGTCCTAACTTGCACTCCTAAATTATTCAGCCTAATAACTGCCTTGTCAAAATCTCGTTTGCCGGAATGTACCATCAGTCATTTAATTTGCATCAGTTAGTTTCGCCTGTTGTTGAACAGGAATTCCTAGTCATTTTGCACCGTCATATAACGCGCCTTTGTTGCTCGTATGCTGGACCTAGACCAATGACCAATTCACCAAGCTGGAAGTCGACATCAAGTCGGCGCAGCGCAACGAGGCCAAGTGCGAGGCGAAAGTCAAATCCTACGAGGATGAAGTGGAGCGACTGAAGGAGAGGTTGGTCACCATCGAGGCGCGGATGCTGGAGATTGAAAAGACTGCAAAGACCTGTATGGACGAATTTCAGGATCTACAAAAATCCGTAGGTACATTTCAACCACCTTAGCGATTCCATTTATTTGGCGTTAATTTTTTATTTGGCTGCCGTAGATTCATGAATTGAACCAGAACTTAGCCAAGGTGAATTGTGAAATCGAGCAAGCAGAGAGCAACCTAGCCGCGAAGAGAAAAGACGAGGGCATCGCCCAGCGCCAAGCGGAGGAACTTCGTGGGCAGGTCAAAGAAGCAGCTAGCCGCGCGCGCACCTGGCAAATGAAACTCCGCTCTCTCCGACTTCATGTGATCGAGGAGGACGAGGAAGAGGAGGCGGCTGGGAGCCAGGAGGCGGACAGCCAACGAGCTTCCGTGGATTCAGATTGCACGCGGCCTCAGTCGCCTGTGCCAGAGGACACTAATGCTCCCTCCACATCGAGAAGCCCCGATTCCCTTGGGGACGCAAGCAAGCGCACGAAACTTCCCACTTTCACGGAAGAGCAGTTGGCTGGTAAGTATTTTTTTAGAGTCAGTGTAATTCATGGGGGAGCAAGAATGTTCTCTGTGGTCTCCTGAAGGTTTTTCCACATTTTGAATGTGTTTTTCTCAGTCCTCCACTCAAATTTTCCACTGGTTACATGGGGATCCAAAGTTATGGACGGAAAGAAAAAGCTTCGTGTGGTCCCCTGAAAGTGTTTTTAGGGCCTATCTACTTACCTTATAATGCGTAATGTTAAATATCTTTTTTTATTGGAGTTCAATGTTCTCAGTCAACTAGAAAAGCCGGCTAACTTGACAAGAAGGAACGCTGATAATTTAGGTCTGCTAATCAAACATTTGGGCCATGATCCGGATATCGTCTCATTTTTTATCATCTAAATATATTACATGGCGTTTATCCACAGAGGTGATGTGGACGAAATATTTAGAAAATATTTAATCGATTTGAGAACGAGTCGTTGTGCGGTTACTAAAATTCTTCATTTAGTGTAAGAAAACTTAATCCTAAGTGATAGATGTAATTCACTCGATAATGTGTTCTCCTTTGTTCAAATAGCTATAAAATTCACTGGTTTTTCTCACTTTTCTTACGGAAATAACTGAATCAGTCACTGGTTACCCTTTCAACGATTATGGTTTTTTGTTCTGCCTCATGGCACGTAAGCCCTCCCTGAAACTTGTCTTTATTCATGGAGTTATTTCTTTTGTAATTAAATTGATCGCTTTCGTCAATAAAGTGCTGAATAGATTAAGAGGATTTCTATGTTTTTTTTAAAAATACAGTTTAAGTGAATTCGCAAACTTTTTTTATACCAGAAATGACAGTGAACGAGGCTGAGGTGCAGAAACTTGAAGAACAGACTAATGCAATGGCTCCTAACATGGCAGCAATCGAGCAGTATCGCAAGAAGGTTGATCTCTACCTCAAGCGGGTGGCCGAATTAGACCAAGTGACGGAGCTGCGGGCTGAGCAGTTGCGACAAGAAGCCGATGCAAAAGCAAAGCGTCTGAGTGAATTCATGGCTGGTTTCAACGTTATCACTACGCGCCTAAAGGAGATGTACCAAATGCTTACTCAAGGTAGCTCTTCGTCCCGCGGCTGCATCTTAAGCTGTTATTTCCATAGAATGTATTTCCCAATGGCAACATGTTGCCTAGTAACACTTGGACGAATAGCTTGCTATTTAAAATACGAAGCTATAGATTTGCAAGGGTTTTTAGATGAATGGCTTACTTTGTTGGAGTCACGATCGCGTCGTATTTGACTTGAATAAGCACTGCCATTTGGCTTTTTGTAACTGTTGTATATTCAACCTTTTTTAACTGAATTAGTCAGGTTTTTGCACAAAAGACCGTTTGTAATCTATCACGACCCTCCACTGCAAAGGTCATAATGATCCATCCGCCCTGCAGTATTAGAGACTGCCTGAGTCGAGTTTCTTGATTGCTCGATTACATATTGGATTCTTTTCTTAAGTTAGAAGCTGCTGTATTTTGCAGGCGGTGATGCCGAATTGGAATTGATAGATTCTCTGGACCCCTTCTCTGAGGGCATCGTATTCAGCGTCCGCCCACCCAAAAAGACCTGGAAGAGCATCGCCAATCTTTCGGGCGGCGAGAAGACGCTATCATCACTGGCCCTAGTTTTTGCCCTCCACCACTACAAACCGACTCCGCTCTACGTAATGGATGAAATCGACGCGGCGCTTGATTTCAAGAATGTGTCAATTGTCGGCAATTATGTTGTGGAGAGGACGAAAAATGCCCAATTTGTCATCATATCATTGAGGAATAACATGTTTGATTTGGCTGATCGTCTGGTTGGCATCTACAAAACCCACAATATTACCAAATCTGTGGCTATTGATTGCGCTTACTTGTCTCGACGTCTGGAATCTGCTATTTCCAAGAGACTGGGCGTCGCCGTTGGAAACACAAACCAAGTTCCGTCAAATCAACGTAAGCTCTTCTTAATTGATAGAGATCTTCACGTTAAGTAGTGGTGACGAAGGGATGTTGTAGATTTTCCACCTTTGTATATCTTTTTGAACTTCCAAGCATTTAGTCTTGGTGCCCGAATTGAAAACTAATGTGAATAGATCCTGTTGATCTTCAAGGACGATTGTTTTTGCATGTCTAGAGGCACTTCACATCCAAGTCGGTGCTGTTCTTCCTGGTGACGCACAGCCAACGTCTTTGCCAGTTGCCGGCGTTCCCGATCAGGACCAACCGCGAAGCACCTGCAGCACCGAATCCGCTCAGACGTTTGTCCCCCAGTCGGCGAGCTAATGGGAAACTAATTTACACTCCTGGTATTCCCTCATTTGTGTACACAAACTTTAGCTCTGTGTATATGTCTGCATGTATAGCACATATCTATTTTTGTAAAAACTGGTGTTTCACGAAGGGATTTGTTAATATTTATAAATTTGAGAACGTCTCATATATTGAAGTGTCGCCGAGTCAGGCGACATTGCGCTGTTTGGTATTTCTTTAATATTGTAGCAAACTTTGGCAGTTTGAGATTGCCAATTTGCGTGTAAAAAGTTATTTAAACATAAATGTGCATGTTTTTTTTGAGTACCTAACTTTCAACAGTCTTCTATATCAAGCAGGAAGTTGTGAACAGAATAGGTGCGACGTGAGTAGGGTGTCCGGCCAGGGGTGGGTATCGAGTGAATGTCCATCATCATTACCTAATCATGTGTTATTGTGGACCTCGGGTTAGACACTCGGAGGTCATTTTGACGAATAATGAAATTTGCAAATAGATTTTAACTAGAGAAGGGGGAAACATGGGTAGATAGCATAGAAATTGGCAGAACGAAAGCGAGTTAATTTAGGAAAAGTGTACTTAAAAGAAAATGAACGTGTTTGCTGATATGCTGTGTTCCGATAAGGACTTTACAGACTTGGGGTCACTTATTGTTGTCAGAAGAGGTAGTTGGCTAGCTGTTTGTAGTGATTCGTTTACACGTTCTTGCAAAGCTTCTGGTCAATAGATCGTAGCAACTCCAGATCAGAGACAAAATTGGCGAAAACAGGGACAGCCGTTCATTAGCAAGAGGTCGGTCCAGTGTATCGTGGTGAGAGCGCGATGACTGATTGAGAATTGTGTAATGCACGAGCAGGAGTGTGATCTAAGTGGAAAGACGGATTATTCATGGACTGTAGAAGGGACATGATTCAGGCAGACACGCAGAACATGACACGGATGAAGACTGGAAACTTCTAGAAGGATTTATTCGAAGAACTTAATAAGGCGATTAGAAAGGGGAGAGAGTCAACTTGTTGATGTGTTCCGGAAGAAACGTTGGAATTCAAATTCTAGTTACTGGGCCGGTCTAAAAGAGTAAGAATACAGGAAGAGGTTACCAGGCATGAGAGTTATTCAATGGCATGGAAGGTGGCGAGCGTGACAGAGCCCCCCTGTTCGGTAGACCACGGCCCTAGTGGGGATGGGGTGAAGGGGAAGTGCGGGGGATTTCTACAGTGTCGTGTACTGGGATGCCTGTCTCTGGTATGGGGTCTTCTATAACGGTGTTGGGGGAAGTCTCGAGACCGGATTTAAGTCGATTGAAATGTACAGTAAAGGGAAAAGTGAATGGGCCGGAGACGGGGCGGATGCGGTAGGTGTTGTTAGGGGGTGATTGGACGACCTCAAAGGGGCCCGTGTAGGGGTTGTCTAGTTTCGAGAAGTTGCCGCGGTTGGGGTAGGGTTGGTGAAGCCAGACTGAATCGCCCCGTTGGCAAGGGGCTCCATGCGCTGTACGATCGTAGAATCGTTTTTGACTTTCTTGACTGGAGTTTAAGTGTTGTCGAGCGATATCGCTAGTGGTTCGATGAACATCCATAAGTTGTGCAACATATTCGCTGGGGGCACGGGGTGTCGGGTATCGAGGTGGGAGCTACAATTCGATGAGAGTTTGGAATTCATGACCAGGCATCAAAATGACAGGGAGAAACTGGTGGACTTGTGGACAGTGGATCTATAGGCGAGCAGGCAATGTGGAATGAGCTGGTCCCAGATATCGTTGTTGTCTCACAGTGATCTTTGAATATCCGACTCTCGAAGTTGGATCCTTGATCAGAGTGGATGGAGTCGGGAACCCCGAAGTTAGAGACCCAGCCGGACAAGACGGCATCCGCGATGGTACGCGCCTCTTGGTTGGGAATGGGGGCCCCTTCCACCCATTTAGAAAAGTAGTCGACCACGATCAGGACGTATCTGTTTCCCCGCCGGGATTGTGGAAAAGGGCCCATGATGTCGATGCTCAATTTCTGGTTGAAATAGCCCGAAGTAATTGGTTGAAGCGGGGCCGTGGGATGGAGATTGGGAACCTTTAGTGGACGGCACGTGGGACAAGAAGAACAGACGAGACGCATTTCACGTCTTAAATCTGGTGACCAGAAGCGTCGTCGCGCTGTCTTGTCTAGCTTGCCTTGCCCGGAGTGGCCCAGTTGATTGTGAAGATCTGTGAGAACCGCTCGTGTCGCTGACTGGGGAAGCACTAGGCGAATGGGGGTGTGAGTGTCATATCGGAAGCATAGAACGTTGTCGCGTAGGCGGAGGTTACTCCAGAAGGACCACAAGGAGTGGAAACCTTGGTTTTGGTTACTCATTTCTTTAGCCGAGGGCTTGCGTTGGCCATGAAGTTGTCTGTCGTAAATTAGAGCCGTACCCGGGTTCTCAGGTTGCGGTTTTACCCTATTGATGGTGTTGGAGTGTACGGTGATGGCATTGACGTTGACTAGTGTATAGGGCAACGATTGAACGGTTGGGAGACGAGAAGGGGCGTCTGCATTGCCATGTTTTTTCTCTGAATGGAATTCCAATTTGAAGTCTAAGTCGTCTAGAGCCTCCTGTCACCGGGCCAGTTGACCCTCCGGTTAATTTTGTCAGGATCTGCCGAGAGTCCATACTCCGACACCACGTGTCCGAGAAACTTGATTGATTGCTGCAGAAAGCAACACTTTTTGGATTAATGGTCAGACCTGCTTGTCGATATTTCCGAAGGACTTCAGCTAGGTTGTCCAGCATCTCTTTCTCTATTAGGCCTAACACTATGACGTCGTCGAGATAGACTAGACATTTTGTTGAAGGAGGCCTTGAAGGACTTTCTGCATTACTAGCTGACAGGTGGCTCCTGCGTTGGCTAAGCCCATGGAGAGTGTACGGAATTCATAGAGGCCCGACGGAAGAGTAAAGGAGGTCTTTGCCCGATCTTTTGGATCTGCTTCTATTTGTCAATAAGTGCTGGAGAGATCGAGGGTGGAGAAAAACTTTGGTCTGGCCAGAGCGTGAAGGAGATCATCCATGCGTGGAAGAGGGAAGGAATCATGAACTGTTACTGCATTAAATTTCCGATAGTCGATACAAAGGCGGAGGGAGCCATCTTTCATCTTGACAAGGGTGACTGGAGCTGCCCAAGGGGAGGATGACGGGGTAATGATGCCCTATCAAAAAAGGTCGTTGATGAGGTTGTCCAGGTCAGCGCGGTAGTGCACGGGTATCCGTCGAGGGGGTGTTCTTTGTGACGAAGCACCACCGGTGTTTATGGTGTGCAGGATAACCTAAGTTTGTTCGATGCTCAGACCTGCCCAGTTGAAAACATTAGTAAACTGTGCCAGAAGTTCGTGCAATTGAAGGCAACTGTTTGGTGAAATATTGAAGGGGCGGATGTCAATTATCGAGGTGGATTCGGACGGAAAGCTGACAGTTTCAACATCAGGCACAGGAAGTGGGAGTTCCAGTTGAACCCGATCAATCTGACCCGTGGAGCACTCGACGACACACTTGTGAGCTCGTAGGAAATCATACCCAAGGATAGCATTCCATTGGGAATCCGGGGATACCAAGAAAAAATGTTGGGCCTGGATAGCGCCAATCTTAACGTGGGCCCTGATTGATCCTGTAATGTTGAGTGTGGAGCTGTTGGTCTCAAGGACAAGTGGGGTAGGAGGATAGCAGTGGAGGGAAACTGGGGGTTTAATATGGATGCAGCCGCCCCCGTGTCTATAAGGGTGGAGGGCCTATGTGACTCTATAAGGCCTTAAACCGCGAGAGCATGAGATTCAAAAAAAAGGAGAGAGGTAAGGGGAAAGGTCAACTCACATGTGCGGTAAGGCTGCCTTGCCAAAGAGCCTGCAGTATCCACATTTCAGAGTGTTAGGGTCGTAAATGGGAGTGGGTTTTGGGGGAGGGATGGGAGGCCGCGTATTCATACCAACAGGCTGAGATGGGCGGGGTGGGGGTGATATAGGATAGAGTGAAGCGGCTGATGGAGACAGGTTAGGGTAGTTTTGAGGAACGGAGAGGGGTTTGTTGACATGAGGGTAGGTGTGAAGGAGAGTTGATGGTTAAAACGTCTTGGAGTGGTCGACGATAGCAAACACTTCCTCCAGGGTCCGGGGAACTTTGCCGCCAAATTGTTGCCTCAAAGTGGGATCTCGGATGGCGGTCACTAGGCCGGGCAGCAGAGGTGCGTTCGCTTCGTCTGGAGGCACGCAAGGCGTGCGAGGTGGGATAATTCATCGTAATATTCCTAGAACGATTCCCCTGCTACCTGCGCGCGGTCAAAAAATTGAAATAGAGGTTCGCCCGGATGGAAGCCGGTCTCGAAGAGGGGTTCCAGGGAGTCCAGGATGACGTCCGGTTGGGACTCAAACATTGTTCGGTCAATATTTAGACTAAGATTGTTGAATATCATGCATTAAAAATTTTTAAAAACAAAACAAATACAGATCAGGAGAATGATTATAAGCATTTTTTTGCACTTGTTCATTCTGCTGTTGTAGTCCATGTAGTTAAATATGCTTGCGTTGATTAGCATTTTTTATGTTGCATTCAACAAAATTATTGTAAAGCTTTGGATGCTACTATTTATAATCTATAGATAGCTTGCCTAAAAAATATCCTTTTTCCAGCTATGATGGCTTTTTGATAACAAATTGGGACTTCACTTTTAGGCTTTACGGTGATTGGCTTTAGGAGTGGTTGGTTTGTAGCCTTTGTTTTGTGTCTTTGCTATGGCGCTGACATCAGCAGAAGGCTTTATTTCGTTGTTGGATGACGAGCGACAGGATATTAAGGTATGTTTCCGTTCTTTTGCATATTTTGTTTATAGGCTTTTGCCCTAAAACGTCTAAATGAGCTGGTTGACGAATTTTGGGCTGAAATATCTGGTTCGGTAGAGAAAATTGAAACACTTTACGAGGATAGCAATTTTGTTCATCACAAGGCGGCGGCATTACTTGCGTCCAAAGTTTACTACAATCTTGGTGAGTATGACGACGCCCTGCATTTCGCGTTATGTGCCGAAGAACTTTTCGATCCCAATGCTCGGTCTGATTTCGTGAAAACAATGATAGGTAGGCGATACTTCGTGAACGTCTAACTTTTCGCATAGCCAAATGTATTGATAAGTATACATCTATTCGCTCGGTTGATGAAAACAATCCGGAGGCAAAGCTTACTGCAAAGGATCTTCAGTTGAGTGGACGCAAATGGTCTGTTGGAGATGGAAAAACTTATTTCCAACTGGAAAAGGTTGTAAATCGAATGTTTGAAAAGTGCTTTGCTCATAAACAATTCAAGCAAGCACTTGGTATCGCCATCGAAACAAGAAGGCAAGCTTCTATAGCGTCTTATTACTATTGATCCAATGAGTTTTTTTACCGAACTGGTTTGATGTGAGCCTTTTTTTGACACAGGGAAGATATTTTTGAAGAGGTCATTACCCGAGCTGATGACCGTGATGACATGCTACGATACGCACTCAAAGTCGTGCTTACATTGGTTGATAGTGTCAAGCTTCGCAATCGGTTACTGAATATTCTCGTTAGAATTTACAGTAAAAACCCTTCTCCGGCCGATTCAGTCTACATCTGTCAGTGTCTCGTGCTCATGGACAACCCACAAGTAAGTAGCATATCTTACGATACATTATCTCACTTCGACCTTAGTGCTGAATCCTGTGCCTTTTCCTTCAGGCTACTGCAGATGCCCTTGAAAGTTTGCTCTTGATTTCCGATGAAGCTGCTGTCACCGCTTTTCAAATCGGTTTTGATCTCTACGAGAATGCGACGCAGCAGTTTCTTCACAGAGTTTCTGAGGCTCTTTCCCGTAGTGCAAAACTCTGCTATCTGATGGAACGGTCAAAACCAGCAGAGACTGAGGAAAAGCCCATAAAAATGGAAGAGGGGGTAACAGCTGAGGTAGAAGCAGCGAAACAGCATGAAGATTCTCCGAGGATGCTCTCTGATGAAGATAAGGTTGTGAAGAAAAGACTTGAGCTACTCAATAGCATTCTTTCGGGCGAAAAAGTCTGTTATTTAAATTATACTTGTAACCTTTTTTAAAAAAAAATCTTGACAAAATTACTTGTCTTTCAGGTTATTGAGCTCCACCTACAGTTCCTTATCCGAAACAACAAAGCTGATTTGCGCCTTCTTGAACGTATAAAGGAAGACATTCGCAATTCGGTAACTCACAACGCGACTGTTATTGCCAACAGCCTGATGCATTGCGGTACAACATCTGATCAGTTCCTGCGTGACCATCTCACATGGCTTGGAAAAGCAGTTAATTGGGCCAAGTTTACAGCCACAGCCACTCTTGGAGTCATTCATCGGGGTGAGTTGATTTATTTTTTTTCTATGATATTCTATTAAAATGCCAACTACAGTGTTACATGCTTTGTCACTTCTATTTTGTGGTCTTTTTTTAGGCCTTTGAATGTGACGACAGCTTCCCATCTATTACTGTAAAATATAATGTATTAACTTTGATTTTATCTTGCTTATTTTCTGGACATTTGTACCTATTTATTAATCGCTCATTACACTATTCTCACTAGCATCAAAAAACAGCTTAAATGCTTTGGTTTCCTCCTTGTAGGGAATGAAAAAGAGGCTCTTCGATTGATGTCTGCTTACCTCCCGAAGGATGCCAGTGGGAGCTCCGGTAGTGTCTATACAGAAGGCGGCGGTCTTTACGCTCTTGGCCTCATCCACGCAAACCATGGCGGCTCTATGACAGGTGAGTACGTAGCCATTTATGTGGGTAAAAGGTTTGTTGCTTGTATGAATTTATAATGAGTGTTACTGTGATCCTTGAATTTTGATTAATGCTTTGGTATTATAGAGTACCTTTTAAACCAATGCAAGGAGGCTATTGCCGAGCCAATACGCCACGGCGCTTGCTTGGGCCTTGGTCTAGCCGCAATGGGCACTGGTCGAGAGGACGTCTACGAACAAATCAAGCAGCACCTTTTCCAGGACGATGCAATCACCGGTTTGTCTGAAATACCGGTGTTGTTTTAACTTCATTACTCTCACAGTTCTCATTAGTCATTAGTCCCTAAGGCTTAATTATGGCTCTCCACTTTTTTTTTCTACCTGTATCTTTCACTGGTCACATTTTGCATTATTTAGGTGGCCGCTTTTGTGTTACTTAGTGAACCGCGTGTGAATCCCCACTCGTGAAAATCCACGACACATTGTCATCAGCTAATTTCCAGCAGTTACATTGACCAATCCTGTCAACTAATAGTAACTGCGTCTCATCTGGATCATTTCAAAGATTGTTCTTAACTGTTTATTTCAAGCTAATGCTTGTTGCTTCGTAATTGTCCTCTTTTCATCGTTTCTGAACCAGTAGTTTGCTGCAATGCGTAGTGCTTTACACTTTTGCTATCATTACCTTTGTTTTTTCGTGGAATTTCTTCCCTGGCATAATTATTTGTTAACTTTGAAATTGCCATTCAAATTGGTAAACTTGCCTAAATGATTTCAGGTCGATCAAAAGTGCCGCTGTTTGTTGTAGCTCAATTAAGGACTCTAAATAGTGTCAGAGTTTTAGTGTCTCCCTTTCTTCCCTGATCCAGCTTCCACACGTCTATCTTCCACATTACTAAGTGGTTTTATTCATTTCACTGCGAACAGGCGAGGCTGCTGGTCTGGCCATGGGTCTGGTCATGCTGGGCACAGGGTCCTCAACGGCCGTCAACGATCTCCTGAGTTACACCGTGGACACCTCTCACGAGAAAATCATGCGCGGTATCGCCTTGGGTATTGCGCTGATTATGTATGGCAAACGAGAGGAGGCCGACGATCTTATTAATAACCTTATTCAAGTAAATTATTGCCTGTTGAATTTACTATATTGGTTGTCTTCATGGGCATATAAGCATGGTTTTTCCTCATTTAAGCAGTTAAATTTATAGTGTATTTTTCAATTGAATCGTACACATACATAATTTGTCAAAAAGATCTTGACGTCCGCTTAAATTTGTACTTGAATCGGAGTCCCCCATTAAGTCTTGTTTTGTTTGGTAAAAGAAGTTGATTTGGGAAATCGTTATCCTTGCAGACGCCCACTCCAGAACAACTTTGAATCAAGAAAAAAATGTTTCCTTTTTTAGGAAACCGATCCAATTTTGCGTTGGTGCGGTATGGCCACAATTGCCATGGCCTATTGTGGCACAAATAGTAACCAGGCCGTTCAAAAGCTTCTTCACGCGGCAGTGAGCGACACAAATGATGACGTGCGTCGCTGGGCCCTCACCGCACTCGGCTTCGTCATGTTTAAGTAAAATTAACTTTCTGTATCGATACCTCAGTGGCTTCCCTTTTTTTCGTCCAATTTTTTCGCATACTGGTTTTAGGTTGATACGCTTCTTAGGCTTAGCAACATTCAATTAAAATGCATTCATTCGCTTCGTCTCTGAAAAAAAGGGTTATATTGGTCTAGGATGATATTTGCACGATACTATTTTTATCTATAGATTCAACCTATTTTTAAAATATCTGTACCTATGTGTTAATTCACTTTACGGGCGCAAATGCTCGCCATGTACTTTCTGTATGTCTCTCAAACAGTCACTGTTTGGTTCTCTGTCGTGCTTCCTATATCTTGCACCGTCTCCCAGGTGACATAGGACGAATTAAGGAGTTTAGTTGTCGACCGTAAAATCTCAATCCGTATTGAAAAATCTCAGGGCACAGCTCTGTTTCCTGAGTTTAATCGTCTATGGGCTGCGCTGTTACTTATAAATTGCCTTACACCCTAGGGACGCTGATAAAGTGCCTTCTCTTGTGTCGCTGCTTTCTGAGTCCTACCATCCGCACCTCCGCTACGGTGCAGCGATGGCTGTTGGCATCGCCTGCGCTGGCACTGCAAACAAGGAGGCCATTTCCCTTCTGGAACAACTCCTTGATGGCACGGTGCATTTTGTTCGTCAAGGAGCTCTCATTGCTCAGGCCATGGTCCTTATGCAACAGAATGCCGTCTCGTGTCCCAAGGTATGAGTCATCGTTCATCCCGGAGCCCACCTTGTTATCTTTCAAGTTTTTTGGCATCGTATCTGTATTAATCATGTGCCCATCAGATACTTTACGCACCTAATTTTTCTCAGTCGATTAATTCTAAAAAGAAAACCCGGTGATAAATCTTGACCTTGACTCAGTGTGCTGCATTAAAACTTATATTTGAACAATTTGGCTTGGCCCAATTTTTTATCAGCACCGGATATTTGCTGCTAAGTCGAGAGCTGGTATTTTTATTTTTCGTATCAATGATTTTGACCTCTAACTTGAATTTAATTCAAACCATTCACTCAGACAGTATTTTGTTCTCGCCTCTCTGCTCTTAGTCGGTAGAATTCAGGGAGCGTTGTCTGAAAATAATTTCCGATCGGCACGAGGATCTTATGGCCAAGTTCGGTGCCATCCTCGCCTGTGGCATCCTCGATGCAGGCGGCTGCAACATGACCATCTCCCTGCAAACTCGCACTGGCAACACCAATATGTCCGCTGCCGTCGGCCTCCTGGTCTTCCAGAACTTTTGGTTTTGGTATCCTCTGACTAACTTCATTAGTCTCGCTTTCTCCCCCACCGCGATCATTGGACTCAACAAGGACCTCCAGATGCCACAGATGCAATTCAAGTCGAATGCTAAGCCCTCCATGTTTGCCTATCCACCACCGATGCGTATGTTTTCTAGTCTCAATTATTTCGAGTTGCGTTTTTGGAAACTCTGTAGTTGCGGCCGTTATTTTGAGTGTTTCATGGACATTTCCAAATTTCAATGACTGATTTGCTAGAATCTGACGTCTACTGATGTCGCTTAGATTTTTTTTCACATCTCTATTCTTATCGGTGCTGTTATTATTTGTCCGTTTTTTAGAAATTGAAAAGGAGAAGAAAAAGGAAAAGGTAGAGACGGCAGTGCTCAGTATCACAGCAAAGCACAAAAAGAAGGAATTGGAGAAAAAGAAACCGGGCACCACGACCACCACAAGTGGTCCAAGCGATGCGGGTCCCGAGAAAATGGAGGTGTACGTATGATTGTTATGATGTGCTACGCTTTAATAGGTTCTTGGCGGTCTGTTTGCGCCTGCAGAATTCCCATCTTTCATTTGTAACCATCGTCATAACTTAATTTAGCAACTATTCACGTTCATGTGAAGCAATTTTAAAGATGATTTGCAGTAGTAGATTCATCGTGAGCAATAATCTAATCGTTGTGAGGGCTAAAAAATAATTCAGTTTTGCTCTGCTTATTCTAGTGACAATCAACCTGCAACTGCTAAGAAAGATAAAGAGGAGAAGGTGAGTTGTCATATAAGGACGGAGTGGTTTGTTTTGTGTGTCAGACGGGCATGATATCCTTGATGTCCAATTCATGTACTTTCTAGGAGCCGTCCTTTTCGATGCTGTCCAATCCGGCTCGAGTAATGCGGGCCCAGCAACGTGTCCTTTCTCTGCCAGAGGATTCTCGGTACTACTCAATAAAGCCAATCACTCAAGTAAGCTAGACTGTTTGTCCATTGAGACAGTGCCTACATGGGTCATATTATCGTGAGTAGATACATTTGCCTCCATGTCAAATATGACCGCTATTGCTGCTAATGTTACAACTGCAGAATAATTATGTATGGTCAAATAATATCAATTCTATCAGAAAATGAATAACACACACGCGTCTGCAATTTTATCTCGTTTCCTGGGTATGAATTTTGATTTTTGGGGTGCCATCTTCTGAGGCCCTGCAATTTATTCATTAGAGAAAAAAGTAGAGACTTTTTAGCTGTGTGTCAAGATCGACATAAACAGATTATTTTAACGCACCAAGTGTGAATTTTGACCTAGCTCGTGCAAACCGATCTTGTTATGTGCGGTCATTCTCCAAAATCAGCCTGTTGCTAATCTCGAAGTAGTAATAGAACAAGTTGACGCGGACTGGGTTTCCATATTGTAGGCGGGCATCCTCCTGTTTCACGATCGTCGACCTGAGGAAGAAGAGGTTCTTGTTGAGGTCCTTCAGCCTCACGGGCCTAGCCTCGGTGGGCGTGCGGGCAAGAGTGGCGTAAAAGCAAGCGGCAGCACCGTCTCCACCGCTGGCACCGGTGCTCTTGCGACAGGCGCTTCCGCCACCCTTGCTGCTGTCGAAGACACTGTCGCTTCTCAGCCCATACATGCTTCAACCGTTGGTGCACTCATGGAGGATGAAGATGATGATGACGATGAAGATGTTGATGACGATGAGGATGTTGATGATGATGAGGATGAAGAAGATGACGGTGGCTCCATGTCAGAGGATGAAGAAGACGATGTTGATGTGGACGAGGCTATGATGGATGATGAGGCGGACGACTATGAACCTGTAGTGCCGAGGTCGCGTGGCCATCGGAGTGGTACAGATAAGTCTGGTGGCGCTGCTTCGGAGTCCCAGCACGAACCCGGCCCTCCTGAACCATTTGTATGGACAGAGGATGATGTTTTGCCAGAGGCGACCACCGCTGCTGCTTCCGCAACCGGTAAGTCTTGTCATTTCCATCAGACTTATTTCAAGGTTGTTGGAATGTTCTTGAACTTTTGGGCAGTGCTTTATCGGTTAGTAGTTGAGTAATATCCTCACAGGTACATCACACTGTGGTCTCTTTGGCTCACTATCCTCAGGTTATACTTGATGAATACAGTCTTAACTATCAGGTCATGTTGTCGTAAAGTTGTCCTTGTGTTTTTAGGATACCGCGATTCTACGCACGGTATTCCGATCAATTTATTGAAATTTGATCCATTAATAGCCTTTTTCTCTAATGTCAAGTTCCATAATTTGCTACTCACCAACCTTCCGCAAAATCAACGGCAGTCAGTAGAGGCGGCGTATTTAAAACCATTTTATTTGCTTTTTATTGCTTTCGCTGCAGATAAGCTTAGTGGATAACAAGGATTATAGCTAACTACCCTGTGGCGTGCTCGTCTGCTCCATTCATAATGGGATCAAATGTTGGGTGAAGAACTTACGTTGGTGGTCTTCGTTTCAGGCTTGTTTGACGTTAAAAACTAGTTTATGGTCAGTAATTCTTGGTCTTTATTTACAGGCACAACAAACACCACTACCACTGCAACCGCTAATGTGGGCAGTAGCCATGTGACGGCAACAACCCAGAGCCAACCTCAGCCGGCGGCTGGAAGCTCAGTGCATGCGGCGGGCAGCCAGGCTGAGCCAATGGACACTGATCGTTTAAAGAACCACGCCGATGATGAGCAGAGTTCTGATGTGGATGAGATGATTGCCAAGCAAAATAAAAGATCGCCGGAGTCCGAGAAGAAGAAATAGTCACTGGTTTTCCACTTACTTCTCTTCTCCTGAACATTCTTTTTTAAAGGTATTTGTCCCCTGCCCGTATGTGGGTGTATTCAAGTCAAAATCTGCCTATTCTGTATTTACTTTTTATCTACACAGTGGAATTGTGGTGGTTAATGACGAGCTGTGGGCGGGCGCGTTTAGTGGGTATGAGGTCAACAAGGCGAAAACTAATTCTGATAGATGGATCAGGTAGATTTTACTGCGCTGTCACCTTAGGGAGGTCGGATGGTGTTCTAGTCCCCTTTCGCTTACGTGATGTTTCGTGGTAAATATGCGGGCTCTAATTAGCAGGGCGGTGACTTAATGCCCTGTTCATGGACCTAAACTGTTTGATAAACATTTTAGCGAATCTCTTTGATAACTGGCGGACTTTGCCTTCCCATTTCCAGCTAAAAGGATGTAAACTACAAGCGGGATGGTTGTCATTCCATTAAAACTGCCTACCTAATTCATTAAATAGTACGACTACTGTTACCAATCCACTAGGTGGCGGCATTCACTTATCGATTTCCTTCCGTCGATCAAGTTAATTAACACCTTTACCATTTCCATTATCATTTATCACTTGACAGAATCCCGCCCAATTTTAGTTTGTCTTAAGAACAGGCAAGCAAGCAGTCGAGGGTATTTGAGTGCCTTGGGTTTACTGTTTCCTATAGCTAAAAATATACGTATTTTCGCATAACGCATGTAAATACCAGGTATTACAGATTTTGGCTGTGCAGATTTCACCAGGTTGGTTAGAAAGTACGCACGACCCTGAACTACATCGTCAAACGCAGTTATACACAAATGTGTAAAGTTTGTTAAGAATTATAGCGAAACCCGTGCAAATAATCAACCACAGCATAAATGAATAACTCAATTTCCAGAAAGACATTGATGCATTTAGGTGCATTGATGAGACATCGAAGGTTACAAAAGAGTAAAAATGCTAACATACACAAAAAATAAATTTAGATCTAATCGAGTCTCCATTCAAAAAAAAAATATCTACGACAATAAAAAAGTTCTTTGGTTAGCACCACGAGCCCTGAGTTTTGTAAACCGGGAAGCAAAATTGAGTTTGGTGTTATTGCGGCCAGATGCCGTAGGTACATAGGTCCTGCAGACGCTTCAACGACGACTGGTTGTCGTCATCATCTTCAGAAAGGCTTGGTGTCGAGGCCAGGAATTGACGGCACCGGAGACTGATCGAACGAAGCGAGGTAAGACGGAGAATAAGTTTGGTGAAACGGGAAGGGCCGGAAGCATCGTAGGTTTTCGAGCAATAGGCTTGCAGGGACGAGCTGAGGCAGTCCTGCCAGTCTTCAAGCAGATTTACTGTCTCCTCGCAGACTCCCGAAACATCTTGAACGCAAATTAAACAAAATATTAGTCTATACAGGGGTTTGCACAACGGACTTATTGTTTCAACGTAATCATGCTATGCCAAGACCGTTTGCGTGCAGGATTACTGGTGCCAGGAATAAGGCCATACCGTAGGCTGAGTAAATGTACCGAGCTGTAATTTGATTTACTTCTTTTACGCATTAAATGCTTTGAAGTAATTTCAGTTCACGAATAAAGCCTGCGCGTACAGAAGGGAAGCCTCGTATATCAAAAAAAGCTTTCGTACGTCATTCTCAGCACACCCACAAATGCACACAATAACTTACCAGAATTAAACAGAACAATTGCCTTCATGAGAGCCACCTCAGTACGATCGGCTACCAACTCGCGAAACACGGCAACCAGTTCATCGAGAACCTGGTTCACAATTGGCCCCAGGCCGGGATGGGTAAGTGCGACTTCAAGTGGCAGAAAATACCGACTCGCCAGCAAAAGACCACACATTGACTCCGGTGTGTTACTCGAACGAAAGGCTAAGCTCACTAGCAGTAATTCGAGCCAAGCTAAAAGTAGAGGGCCAATTTTTCAAAGCAAGTGGGTACACAAAAGTAAGAAAGAACTTTAATAGACAGGACCCTTACCAGAATTCAACAAACATTGCTGATCGTCAGAGTCAAGGTAAGATGTGAATGCGGGAATACTACGTGCCCAACGAACAAGCCGAGACAAAAGTGCTTCCGCTGATTTAGCTATTGCGAAAATGGCTGAAGGAGGGGTACCAGATATAGTTTTGAAGGGAACATCATCATCGTCACCACCATCAGGCAATTGGAACAGAACCTCGGCAGCGACGAGGTCGTCCACCGTAAATACCTCGAGTCGCTGCACAGTTCTGCTTGTGGGATGTGGTCTCCTGCGCTTGAAACCACTTGTTTGTTGACATCGCTCGTCTTGTACAGCTACAAGGAGAAAATAGTGTTCTAGAAGACGATACAGACTCCAGGTGAGAACAAAATGAATATATCCACACGCTGTGCATTTGGAGTGTCGGTGGTAATAGCAGGCATCATCTACCTTAATTTCCATAAGATATATTTGAAAAATGCTTTTCATAAGTCCTACTGTTAATGAATGTTCTGTTTGAAAAAGCATAGTATTATTGGACGCACACCAAGAGAAACCAGAGCTTTTGGCATAATACCCAACACTACTTGAAGTATCGTCCTTTTCCTAACATGCAAACAAGCACACAGACATGCATACCACAAAAAGCCTTATAATGGGTCGTGTGGCTAACAGAAATTTCAGCAAAAAAGAAAACGCTAAAGTGGGCTATATCCTCTTGTTGAAACTCGCCATCAATTTTCATTCCCATTTGAATGCAACGATGGAATCGACAATAGCGGCATAGATTGCGGTTTTTTATGTCAACTGGACATGCACGTTGGGCTCTACAAATATAGCGAAGTCGATGCCGTACGGAGCGCTTAAAAAAACCTTTGCATCCCTCACAGGAAACAGCACCGTAATGGCGTCCGGTAGCCAAGTCGCCGCAGATAACACAAACTTCCCTGCAGGTAAACAATAAAGCCCTTGCAAAAGATATTCCACAAAATGATTTGTGAGAATTCTTAACTTCGAGATAAAGCTTCGTAGGAAAAGGAAACGAAAAGAAACACATACGTTCAATGATTTAAATGATTTTAAGATAAATTTACTATGTAAAAGAATGGGAATCCGGGACCCGGAGACTGTATCGACAAGTTTTCGTAAAAAATGCATTTGATGGCGCTATCTTGTACATTTAGGTGTGGGACAATGCATGCACGAGAGGCGTTTGTTCTGCCTCATTGGGACACCAGTGTCCGAATTTGTCTTACCTGCGGACCACATCACGAGATGAAAAAATATTCGTGATTCCTTTCGACTCATTTGTGGCAGAGAGCAATCTACTACTCTCTGCAAAAGAACCAAAATCAATAGGAGACGCTCGAACCTGTTCAAGGTCTGAAATGTAACACCAAATAACCCGTCAAAATTTAGCACAATATAATTAAAAAAGCAATTTTACTTACGTAATGAGTAGTCAGACTCTAAATATTGAGAAATTGGAGGAATTTCATTGCAATTCAGTTCAGTCGGAGAAGTCATTACTGAGATAGAAAAGGATGCATCTTAGATGAGATCAGATACGTTGGAAACACTTTTAATACTTAACAGTCAACATCCTTAGGTAACTGGGAAAACAGGACCTGTGCATGAATTAGCATGCATCACCGGATTGGCCAAGTAGTTTTAAATGCAATTTATCCAAAGACCGACAACATTTACACTAATGTATCATTAATTTAAAAGTGTTTTTCAATTCTGCAATCCTACTCCAGACAACACAAGTAAGTGAACAGTCTGAAGGACATTAAAATTAGCTAGGTTTTCTAAAAACACGTCAATGCAAAAATGTCTCCAATCTAGATCTCTGAAAAATAGCTGAACATCAAAGAGCGTCTGCAACACACTACGGGAACACCTGCCTGGTAAAATTAAAACACCTATTAGTTGGGTTTTGAAAACCATTTAATGGATCATAAAAACAAGAAACTGAACACCTATGTAGCTGAGGAACAAATGAACAGACTATTAATTCAGAAAACCCCACGCGCATCCAGACCCCTAATTTTTTAGTACGCGGTTAAAAGGCATCGTACATAACTACAAATATACAAAAAATTAAAAACATTCTGACACACATTAAAAATACTCTTTTAAGCAGTTCAGTTACCAAGGGATATTGCGTTACAAAAAGGAATTTGGAATTCGCTTTATTCGAAATTTTGGCAAGCATTAATCTTTTGAAGAATTTTTATTCTAGTTACTAAACAGTTAAATTAAGATCAGTAAATTACAGTTCCACTTAAACGACAACAAAAACTTGATATTTTAGCAATTGCCTGGACTACTTCAAAGGCTATTACTTATAATAAATGTTTGCTTCTCTAGCTGAATTAGCATATTGCTGTGTGTTACAGGCTATTCCTTTGCAGAATACCCGACCCCTATAATGAAGGAGACTGGCACAACAGAACAGGCTTTATTCACCAATCCTATACCAGAACCTCTTGTTAAGCGCCATCCATCCGAGTTCACCGCGCTGAATACGCCGATCATTATGTACTGCTCCGCATTCGCGTCTTTCTCTGGTTTGCTGCCTATCTTCCTCGAATGCTTTTGGAGCGTAGGTAGATGGAGGATTAGCTAATGCAAGCGTGGTCAAATATTTCTGCGCCCCCAGACGTCGTCACACTGCCTCCCCATCGGGAGTTAAGCTGTCCTCAGCTTCTGGCTTCGTTCCCCGCACTGTTCATGATTATTAAAATATCCAGTTCGACACTCCTCGCACCTCACATCTGACAGGATAGTGGCCCAAGCGAATGATTGACGAGGGACTTGGCTCTTGTAGACTTGAAGGAATGACTCTTTATTCATCGTAGGTCCTTTCGCGGTTGCAATCCAGCAGGCTTCTACTGTCTATGTCGTCGTCGCTAGGTTACCAATGCCTCTTCAGATCCGGAAGTCCTAATCCAGGGCAATGTCTATGGATCCAGTTTATTGGACATCGGATTACCACTTCAGCTGGCATTTAAAGGTCTGTGCCTCTGTTGACCATTGAAGAGAAAGTGCTGGGGTTCGATTGGCGTTATTCGAACGCATCCGCTCCCACCAATGAAGAATACCCGAGCCCAAGCATGAATAAGACTGCTACAACAGAACAAGCATTACTGACCAGTCAGAAGCCACAGCCACAAGTCAGGCGCCTTTCATCCGAGTCCACCACGCTGGCCACGCTTCCCATTATATACTGTTCCTCGTTAGTGTATTTCTCTGGTTGGCTCCTTATCTTCCTCGCATGCCATTGGAACGCAGAGGGGCACAGGATTGGCTGAGGCCAGGTGTTCCAATATGTCTGCGCCCTGATCCGTTGTCTCTGTACGTTTCCGACCCATGGTATGGTGAAGAAGAGAGAGTAAGGCAAAAGGGAGTGCTTTAATGAAGGCAAAACAGCCACAATCTAGTCACAAACAGGTCGGTCCGTATGGGGAAAACAGAGGCTTTATATATGTTTGTTCTGTTCTTTCTGTTCTCCCGTTGGTCCGTTACGCGTTGCTACAATGAAGACGAAAAACTCGTGAGCGGATTGGCTCTTAGCCTCCGGCGCGTCATTCAATGCCCGCACGCCGCCACGCAGCCGGAAGTCGCACCACCGGTTACGTGATGTCGTCTCCACGCCGTGCTCACTACCGTCACCAATGTGGCTGCCGTCTGTCATTCCGCTACATCACACCAAACCACACACAACACCGCACCACACCACACCACACTTCAAACGAACTACACATCACTGTAGCTTGTCTTCGGTTGGTGGTATTTATTTCTTCCGTAAAGTGCCTTCTAGGATTTTTTCTTATGTCTACGCCCTGATCCGTCGCTACACTACACTACACCATCAATGGTCACTTAACACAAAGGCTACTCTCCGGTAATTTAATATTTAGGTGTGACCTTGCATACATAAAACAGTCCTAAATATTTTGAATGCCGAGATTCTATTCTCTGTATACGTGAACAATCGATTTTTTTGCCCCAAGACAGCGGATACTAGTATTATTCTTTAGTGCAGTATTTATGGTTTTAGAGAATGCAACCCTAAAATCCTAATTTATTAATTATCAAAAGGCCATTGAAGCTCTTTGCAGCCTACGTCCTATGGCACTCTTACTTTTTTGTATTTGAAATGCTGTCCAGGGAATTTATATTGCAGTTTCAAATTTGAGCTACTATAATTATATGTGGCTCAATTTTTTTTATGATGTCTGTCGACCTGCCAATTGCTTTTAGTGGACTTTCAGCCATTTCCCGTGAGCCAATGATCCATTCTTATTACATTGATTACGACTGGCAATCGTCTACCACTTACAGTTGCAAATTCGCACACAAAGACAATTGACAGGTGTGAGTAGGGTAGAATACCTGAACAAAAGCATGAAGATTTGTACAGCAGAACAATCTTTATTGATCAGTCACGAGTCAGAAGCATACGTTAGGCGTCGAACTTCCAAGTCTACCACGGTTTCTGCGCTGCTCCGTTTATACCATCTGTCTTTGGTTTGCTGCATGTCTTCCTCGGAAAATGGGATGCAAAGAATAACTGTGCTTAAAATCAGATTTCTTCTCAAAAAAGTCTTAGCATTTTTTACGTTACTATTTGCAGTTGATACATAAATGTCAGTCTAATATATTTAGACTCATGAGATTTGGGAAAGATTAATTAAATTGCACATAATTTGACATTTGATTTTGAATGTGAAAGCAAAGTCTAATTTAAATGTCCTTAACTGCCTAAATGCTGTCAATTACAGTGCCTTAGTTTTTTGGAAAATAAGTGGCTTATTATTTACATTTCATTCTGGGTTTTGCAAGGCTCACAAATTGTAAAACATATTTTTTTGGTTTCACAACGCTTTACAAGACAGATGGTTTTATGCTGAGTGTTAATAGCTTCGAAAATGCAGGTATTGCAAAATTAATCAGTGAAATGGAAAACTAGAAACATGGATATTTAACTGTAATCAAAAGCTCGAATAACGCAAATATGAATTTAATATTTTTATAGACATGAAATTCGCTCCAAGTAAACATTATATTGCAATTCCCATGGATGTCGAATTTGCCTTCAAATTCAACCTTTTCCGATCAAATGTAAAGTTATATGTTATGTGATTTGATTAAAAATTTATAGAAGCGACTTCCTACTATGTATAGAGATTGTTATAGTTTTCGGTGATATGCTCAACGTGGGAAATGTGATTTTCATGCGTCAGTCCGCAACAAACAATTACGTTAAAAAGTCTAATATTACAAAAGTTAGGATGGCTTTCAAAAATTTTAAAAGCCCAAAAATGGCATCTAAACAATTCAATGAAGTGTAGAGCAATTGTTTTTCCTAAGTTATCGAAAAAACTCACAAGAGAGAAGCTTGAAGGAAATAACAATATAACAAGATTACATTTGGTTTTTGTTATAACAGTTAAAATTAAATTTAACATGATTAAGCCAGCATGAACGTGACGAATTGTTGGATTAGTTTTGACTATTCTTAAATGCATAGCTAAAAATAGTTTGCGAAAATAGACTACTTAGACCAACAAATTCCAGCACAATAACTATGGATTTACTAACAAAACCATGAAAAAATTTAAAGGACTCTGCCTGCATTAATCTTTGATACAAACAGCATTTTTAACTTACAATAACCACACATGAAGTCACCTCTAATATAAGTACTTTAATGCTCAAATTTTAGCTTAAAACATGTTTTGTAGCATCATACTTTTAAGGTATCCAAGGGACAAATAAATATTTAACTGAGGAATTTTGGTTTGGCATAATTGGCATGGCGTCGAGATTACATGCACCCTAAGAACTAATAATATTAAAAAAATAAAACACACTGAAAATAATATTTCGACGACGGTGAACAAACCCTACAATCCACGCAATATTTATTTAGTTATTGCTGCTGCGGATTATTGAACTAGTCCGTTTTGAGCTTTCAACAAACAATAAAAGGCAAAAGTTTAGGGTTGTAAAACTATTGGTTATGTTGGAAAGTGAAATACCGAAAATGTTTGCAAAATTAGCTAATTTTCCGACTTTTCACTAAGCTTGTGTCGTCGCGCGTTAATTGAGGATGCTCCAGTTGTCTCGAAAGGAAAGATTGGAAAATGCAAAGCGGAAGGTAGAAGTCGTGTTCGTTGTGTTGATTTTTTTCGTAGCTTCAAGAATTTCGCAATTCTTATCAGCATCGCCAGGAAGCATCGAGTTTACCACAGAATCCTTTCAATCAGAGTGCCGTTGCCCAAATATTGGACGTGGTAAATTGGCATTTTACGATCTAAAATTAAGGGCTTTTAACAGTGTCTCCTCTTTTGCAGTTATAATTACTGGTTTAACTTAACTTATTGATTGTTATCGGTTGTGGTTAGCTATCTCTGTGGTGATTTGGTAGAAGCTTGTTAAGTGTTCAGGGTATTAAGCAAATTTGCGCTACTTTTTATGTAAGAAAAATTTATTATCATGTTAGTGCGTTGGTTGTCAGTGATATTCTCATTTGAGTACTTTTTGATTTAGTACGGAATTGGTATTACCATTAAATGTCATAGTAATCTTTTGCTTGTTTTTAGAATTCGAAACCGATTTATCCACTGGAAAATGGATGGTATGTTTAAATTGATCTTAAAAGTTCCACCTGTAGTCCTCAAAACTCAGGTAGTAGTACGAATGTAATATTGAACTCCACTGATTACATGAACAATAGTTATCCTCATCCTCAACAGCCCTCGCTTCAGACGCCTTTGTACGATTCAGAATCAAAACCCCCAAATATGAACACCTACATCGATTCCTCTTCAGGTCAATTACCGTACAAAATTTCGTAAGCCATTAAGTCTATCCTCAAATTTTGCTTGAAGCCTTATCCATGAACTTTTGATGATCACATTGTCACGTTTATTTTTCTCACAACAATAAAAGTCAGCCTTAATGCCGTTTTGTGCATGTGGCAATTTTGTTGCATTTGAACTGTCCCACTTTTCCGTTATCAGTTTTGTTAATGCCTTAATTGCGGTATCTTGACGAATAATAAATACGTCTAGAATTATTCTGGTGTATTTTACCAAGAGCGAGTTTGCCATGTTCACTTTTCCAAGGTTTATAGTAAATTAATGCTTGTCCACTCAGAACCACCCCATCAACGGAAAAGGTAGCACAGATCTCCCAAGAATTAAACCTTCTTGTATCATCGAACTTTGGTACATCCGAATTTTGCCAACAATCCTCCTTGTCTCCATCAGAAGCTGCAACAGCTTCCTACTCCCAAACTAACGAATTGTCACGGTCAGCTAATGGAGAAAGGAATTTCAGAACGGCCTCGCACCTGTCTCTCCCGGCGTGTTGGCAAGGAGCCCCACTAAGTTCTGTTCCCTCCCCGTCGGCCAGTTTAATCCTCATTCGGGAACTTCAAGTAAGTGTTATTATGGAAAAAGTATTAGCAAACCCGAGGTCGCGCTATATTCCGCGAGTGCTGCAAACCTGTTCTTTTTGGCTATAAACAACTACTTCGTTTTATTCAAACAACCTAAATATTTTGCTTAAGTAATAGTATTAAAGTAACGTCGGGATTCATTGTATACAATAAAGGTGTTTGCGTACGTACGCAAACTGCTATATGTTGCGCTTTCTTTCATGTTCATCTGAGTATTTATGTTGAACATGTGGATACTTTATAGTGACACCTCAGCTTTTGACTTCAGACATGCTTTGAAATTCTGTTGTTGAGAACCTGCTACGACTTAAAGCAGCCTTCCTGAACTCGTGCTATGGCCTTGAGGTTTTAAATTCCGATCAAACGACGTGTATTGTATCTCAAACCAGCAGCTTGATTGAACCAGTTTAGGCTTTCGTAAATGCGGTTATCTAATATTTGTCAATTGGCTGTTATCTCAAATTCATTAAAATGATAAGTAAAATGTATGATAACTCGGCAGCCAAATCCACTCATTATTTACTATCCGAGTTTTAGTGGTTTTATGATGGCCATTCGAGAAGGTGTTGGTATGTAGGTAAACGATACCATATCATTGTTCCCACTAGTTAAAAAATGGCGACTTTGTCTGCAAAAAGAGCTTTTGTAGGTCCATTTGCCACAAAGTCACCAAGAATGAGAATTATCACAAAGCGTCCAACAAATCTACCGAATTGGCCGGCCCTAGTTGCAATTTGGTACACGCTTACTTTGTGTATAAAGTTCCTAACCCATGTAGACATCCTCTGCTTACCATTTCGTGCAAAGTTTCTTAGAACTCAAGTTCTACCTCCTTCTGTTAAGGTTTCCCGTGTTATCATCTTAGGGTCTGCAGCACATGTTTTATTGATCCAGCATAATCAGTTTTTGACCAGCCGTCGTCTTTTGTGAAGGGTGAGCACAATAATACGCTCTGCATTACCACGACCGGTTGCGGGCTAGAATCTCATCTCGATTGTACTAGTGATTTCCAGCCCATGTCAAAGCCGCTGGTAATGTTCCATTGAGAGCATTCACCAAACAACTTGCCCATTTACTCGGTAACTTCTGGCTAGCAATATAGGCGGTTGATTGAAACATTTAATAATAATTTCGAGGCGTTGTGTTACACAATTTCTGGTCGGCCTGATTAATTGCCACTTTGCAAAAGTGGGAGTTGATTGCAGATGCTATCAATTATGCGCATTAAACAATGGTTTTATGTACTAAAAAAGTCTCGTGGTTTTTGTTTGGAGATATGCAACCGAATTTCCCACGACTAGTGTTTTATGTTGTGTTGGGATTATCTACACGTGATTTAACTTCTCAACTTGCGTCTATGTTCCCCTGCCAATGCTCTCGGAGGTGCATGGATTATGAATTTGGTCCGGGGGTTTGGACGGGAGGGTGTTAGATGCCTACAAATATTTGGCGTTTCGAGTCAGCTAATTTTTGTTATGCTTACAAGAACATCAACAATGTATGCAAAAGAGCAGTCTTGTCTTACTAAAACACCCAAATGCACCCAGATATTTTGTACACGGGTGAGCATTTTCCATTCGAATTGGCGTATTCAGCGTGAATCTTTGTTAAAGTGGACAGTAGAATTGCGTTGATTTGCAAAATCTGTCCTCTAGCCACATGTTGACACTCAGTTTCTGCATATTTCTCTGGTTTAACCATAGCAAAGGAATGTAGAATTGGCAACACTGTTGGAGCAGAGGAATGAAACCCATGACAGATCAGTCGCCAAAGTTGCCTCCCTGCGCGACCAACTGCACCAGCTGAAACTCTCCACAGACGAGGAGAAGAGGAACCTCGAATTATCTACGCAACGTGAACTTGCCAAAGCGAGGGACCAGGTGGGTCTACGACGCGTGTAAATTCAATTTGGTTCTGGGCTATAGCAGGTTGATTACAGTCCTACACAGAACTTCAGATTATTAGACTAAGGAAGCCGGTCCTTGCTTGCATTTATCAGGTGAAGCCATCAGTCTCGTCTTTTATTCAAATCTTTTACATGTCATTCACTGGGTGACCAGTATTGATCCTTGAATTTGTTGTGGGCCCCAGCATGCGGTCTTGAACCACGCCGGGGCCACGGAATTAACCCTGGCCCGATTACGTTTGCGATGAAGAAAAAGGTCGGAGAGGACGTGGACCAAACCGTTTACTTCCGAGCTCAATCACGTTGGCGTCGTTGTGTCGTGTGTGGGTTTTGCGCTTGTGTATGTATTCCTCGTATGTGTGAGTCACACATGCGCTAACATCGAGACCTGGGTGTGAGAATGATCCAAAATAAATATCCGTGTGAATGAGGGGGGAGTTGAGGATCCGCGCGGCTGGCGACATGCTGCGAAAAAGGGAACCCTGTGTCAGAGGCGGAGCGACCGGATTAAGGGGTGTGAATAAAAATAATTCACAACAAATTAGTGGCTTCAGCTGATTTGGTGCGTTACCGCCAATGTCCAAATAAGCACTGTGTAATTCCATTATATCGCATTAGGCGTGTGTGTAGGAATATAATTGACATGAAGGAAATGATCTAATATCTTGTGAGAGTTTATAATGGATAAGTTGAGATGCCGAGTGTCTGATCCAGTTCTTTTTTATTCTCCTCATTTTTTGCCCATCACCAGGTCCGAGCGCATTCCCAGACGGTGGGAGCTCTTGTCGCCGAGAAGACGGAGCTCCAGGCAAAGCTGGCTCACGTCGAGCGCGTGGCAGAGCAGAGGTCGCGAGAATTGCAGGAAATGGCTTCGAACAGAAACGAGTTGCATGCGAAATTGCAGGAACTCGAGGACAGGGTGCACCTCGCCACTAGCTCCTCCGAGCACAGCGACTCGGCGAAGCAGGAGGCCCTGCGACAGGTACTCTCACGATTGAAGTGTGAAAGTAGTCCACCTGCTGTGGTTACCGTGGGTAGAGCTAGGCCTGGCATTTGCTAATTTGTAACTACGCTACGCTGCCTTCCTCTTTTGGCCAGTGTTGGGCCTGTCAACTTGTTCACCGTTACCCTGGTAACTAAATTCGCTTTGTATTCCTCCTCAGCTAGAACAATGGAGGAGTGAAGCGAAGCGAGAAAACGCCTTTCGGACGAGACTCGAGACGGAGCTCAAAAATCGCGACAGCAAACTTTCTCGGCTTGAGTCTGAGTTGATGAAACTCACCTCGTCGAATGAGGATCTGAGAAGACAGCTTGAAGTATCTATGGTAAGACTTGTCGCTGCTGCTCACTTTCCTTCTCGTGGCATCCCGCAAAAACAGACCTGGCAAGCATGCCTCTTCTGGTGGTCCATTCACAAAACGTGCGTTGTCCGTGATGGTCAACCACCAATGGGAGAACAGGTACTGAATTAACAGTCAGTAAATTTTAGGGTAGAAGCCTTCTAAGGGATTCAAGCAGACTTTATCGTCAGCTTGAATCGCCCTCGTTCACACTTCTTCCTCATAAGTCCCCAACATTCGATAGATAATGATAGTGCAAACTTTAAACTCTGTACAATCAGTTGAAAACACTGTCTTCGAGACGCTTGGTGTTTTGACTGTATCTCTCTCCTCAAATAAATTTTTAGGCCTTCTCGAGGCCAGGGACAGTCCCTGAACGAGGTACCGCTGCTGCACCACTCGGAGCACCAACGACACCCACATCGAGGTGTGGTCGGTGCGAAGCCTTCCAATCCCGTATTCACGATCTCGAAACCATGGAAATACAAACATCCGCGGACAAGAGCCGTCTGGAGTCGCAGTACAAGACCTACGTCTCCGAAGTGAGTCGTTCTCCCTGCTGATTGAAAAAGTGCATCGCCTGTTGTGCAGGTGTAACGCCGAAATTGCTGTGTGCTGTTCTCTTTCCCACCAACTGTGTCAAGCCCTCCCTGAGTATTGCTAAAACTTATTGTGTTTTCGTAAAACATTTTGCGTGGCACTGCCGTTGTTGCCGCATCATCTAATGCAGGTAGACTGACGGTTGGCAATGATTTGCGTCTTGCTTCAGATGGAGACGCAGGTGAAGAATCTTCGTGGAGAGGTCGAAACGGCCAACACGAGGAGCGAGACTTTGCAGCGATCGCTGGATGAACTGCGGCGACAGCTAACACTTAAGGACAGTGAGCTTACAAAGGCCGGTGAGTGGTCATTTTACGGTGACTTCATTTGCCTTCCCGTTGGACCAGAATCTGCTGCTTAAGCCCTTAAATCAAGCATGATTTAAATGCCAACACCGACTTACCAAATGTAGGGAAAGCCGCTACTGGATTGTTTTACTTCGCACCCACTATTTCTGGTCTCGTGACAGAAACATTGTAATCTCGACTTCCAAGGAACGAAGCGTACTCGTTGATAAGTAGGATGTATTGTTCACGCAATCTTCTTATCAATCGGTACCAGTAATATATTCTGGTTTGCCAAGCACTTACTCTTAGTGGTGTGATGGGGCCTAAGCCTCGTATCCCTATCTGGAATCACGCTTTGTAAAAGGGCTAGCCCACGACCTGTGAGCGGCACATATTTGCAATCTACAGGCTGTTCATTTTGCTAGGAATTGTTGCCTAATGGGCAGTAAACTGTCATTTTCGAAAGACCGATAACGCTGTTGCTGTTCCCCTTAAGCAATAAAACGGTGACTCGGGGTGGTGATTAGAGCCGTCTTAAAGGCTACGTCGCCACTCCACCAACACCACCACGTTATGCGCATTGCAGTGCGTTGTTTAAACGACTTTTTATATTTTAAATTGAAGTAGGCTTTTCAAAGATGGCCTGCTCTTGTCTTATTTCATTTGGAAATCCCTTAGCTAGGACATTGTGTGCTATCAAACCGTTGAATAATTTTTTTGATGTTTTATATTGCGCAGCTACTTTCACCGTCTTTTAGTGAGCGAATTTGAGCGGTTAAAATCGCAGCTGCAGTTGCAGGAGTCCACGGTTAAATCCGCCGACCCGCCTCCTGTAACCGACAAGGCCATCCTGGAGTCGGTCATGTACAAGGACTTGGAATTAACGGCTAACGCGCTAAGAAGCAAGGTCAGTTAGTTAGTTAGTAGTTAGAGTTAGTAGCCAACACAACGTATTGCGCTCAGGCGCTATCACCTGAAGAGAATTCGCTGACGCCCCAAGGCGATTGAACTAACCATTGGCATTCGCCTGCCTGGGTTTTTGGACAAAACTTGGATTGTTTGGTCGAGTATATTGTCAGCTATATTACTGCACTCTCCCAATGTTTGTTTGCCAAAATCTCGCTAGCGTTTTGCACCATCTTCTCGAATGTGATCTCTCCACACATCGACACCTTTGTTCCATTTTCCGTGTTCAAATTTACGCAAAAGCCACAACTGAGGCCGTCATTTTTGACCGCTTCCTCGAGTCTGGTTAACTTGATCGTACTGGCACCCTAGTCAATGGTATCCATGAAGTTGACTTCTGTCTTTTTGAATGGCATTTTTCACTAAGCCCTCAGCTTCGCGAGTCAGCCCAATCCCGAAGGCATTTTTGTCTCCTCTGCGTAGAGCACTTGGCCATCGGGCTTGGTTTGAGTGCTGTTGCCTCGCACTAAATGCCAATCCTCCTGTTGCCTTGTGTAGGTGAATGAGCTGTCGACACGGCTCAGCGAGACGGAGGAGAGTCTGTCTGTTGCTGAGGCGCGTCTGGGCGATCGGGAGGAGGTCCTGGCCAAGGCCAATTCCGAAAGAACCGCTCTCAGTCGCGCCATGGACCAGAATGCCAAGCTGAAGGACCAGCTCACCGCGCTTCATGATGCACTGGAACACGTTGTGAGTTGTGGTGTCTTCTCTTTGTAAATTATTCCGCTGTCCACCTTCGTGTTGTCGACATGGTAGTGGGCGTGTTTTAATGATTAAAGAGGTTACGTTAATTTAAAGGCGTGATCCACATTCACGTTCAATCTCTCGTATGCAGCGTACACGTCAAATAGTCAAAATGGCCAACCACGTGGTGAACGCTCTGCCTCTGGTTCAGTACAAGGGCGTAAAACACCAATATGCCTGGTGTTGCATCCGCTACGTATGGCGCTTAGATTGAGATGGTGAGGTGGCTTTAGCGACCATCCAGGGCAGGAATGATGATGGTGTTCATTAATCATTTTTTAAGGCCTAAATGACTAGTAAAGGTGTCGCTAACAATGTTATGAATTTAAGAAACCGCAGGATATAAGCACCGTGTCTGTCCGAATGTATTTTTTACATCTCCAGTAAGTAGTAGGCGTTCAAACCGTCCCTGATTTTGTAGAACAAGGAGAATTCTGAAGCGCAGACTGCGTTGGCCAAACTCCAGGCCTCTGCCGAAGAGACTGTTGACCTTCGCAAGAAATGCGAACGCCTGGAAGCGGAGTTGGCGGCCGTCCGCCTGGAGACCACCTCCAAGTCCCCGCTCGAGGACGAGCTGCGTGCCAGCCTGGCTGCCGCCGACGCGCGCTCCCAAGCCCTCGCTCAACAGGTGGACGCGCTTCGCGCCTGCGAAGCCGAGCTGGTTGCCGCGCGGGCCGAGTGCGCGGCGCTGCGGGCGGCGCTGGAAAAGGCCGAGCGTGAGTGCGCCATGAAAGCGGACGCCCTGGTTGTCGGAGAAGCAGAGCCCAAGGTAGTGTGACACATCCAGCTAGTCCTTTGCTAATCAGCTCATCTTTCTCGTTGTTACCGGTAGGTATTGTCCCGGTAGCCTTGGGGTGACCTTGTTCCAGTACTCCACTCTTCGTATCGGGAGGCTTTTTATCGCGGTTGTCAGTGACCGCGTTATTGATGCTACTGTAATTGGCGTTACTTGCTCTATAGCTGAAATCACTCTTTGGCTAAAAGGTGCATGCCTGTCGGTTGTCTACACTTAAACACAGGTTAATCGGGAGTCATTCTTGTCCCGAAAACAACCATCTACACATGCATAGCTTCCTCACTGCCCGTGTTCCCTCTCTTTCCTATCATGGGAGACCTGTACTTTTATCACGCTTTCCTCTTTCGACAACACATTTGCGTGTGGATTTCAGGCAGGTCCTGCGCCACCGATTGGCTTGGATGAAGGCAAAGTCGAGGTTGAAACCCTTCGTCAGGCCGTTCAAGACTCGGACAATAAGGTTAGCTGGGTGTGCCGATTATTTTCCCCAATTTTTTTAATCATTTAATTAAAATCGGCAATGATGAATCACCACAAACACATTGTTATGGTGTTTTTTTCAACCCAGCTGTGAATTAAACCACATTCAAGTCAGTTTTTTATGGTCTTAGTTAGATGATGGCATGCAGCTTGTTCTTCTCAGCTTACCAGACGTATTTCGTTCAGTTTGCGCTCGTGCTTTCGCGTTGGTGTTAGCGTCAACGGCACAAAAACACGAGCTCTACCCCCGCGCATGTCTTTTAGGCGCAGCAGGTGGCAGCCCTTGAAAGGGAAGTCGACAGCCTCCGCCTCCTCTCCACCAGCCAAGCCGCCACCATTGTCTCGCTCGAAGAGGCTCTTGCAGCCACCAAAGTAGGTGACAAGAGCACACGCACCCACACACTCAAATTGCCTTCAACCGACGTGAGCCAATGCAAATCTAGTGCTGCAAAGTCGTATTCCTATTGGGCTTCACCATCTCCTCCTCCTCCAACCTGCCTGAGTTTAAGCCTGTTTTTACTAGTTGTTTCTCGATAAGATTTGCTTTCGCTACTGGTAGTGCCAGGTGGCGCTCAAGCCAACAGCGAGTGTCTGTGTTTGTTGCGCTCAGAGAACCGAGCCTCAAAATCTCCTGTCCAACGCTAGCCCCACCTCCACTGCACCCGATCAAAGACATGGCCTCTTGCAGATTCCTAATGTAGATGCCTTGGACGACCGTGACCCCAATTGAGGTGGACAGACATCGATGGGGCTATCAACGGTGGGAGGGGGCTGCGGGAGAGTGTGATCACATGAAGCAGCGTGGTCCGTGGAGTTGTGTAGACAGGTACAAAATCTCCGTCAGGGGAGGGGCAGTCTCTAGGAGTGCTGACTTCATCAACAGTGCTATGAATGCCGAGAAGTTGGTCCGGTCACAATGTGTACCCTTAAGGGCAGCAAAATGCCATTTCAGAACGATCTCCGAAGCTGTCACTGTTCACTGTCACTGATTGGAGCTCTTAAAGGCTACACCGTCACGCCGCCACCACCACCACCTCTAGTTATGCGCATTGCAGTGCGTCGTGTCTCTTGTCGTTTTAGGGTAGTGACAAGCATACACCTAAGCGAGATTCCGAAGTTCAAGTTGGTGCCCAACGTCGTGATGCCTACGCGTCCTGTATGTGCCAGACGGAACTCAGCATTGTCAAGTCGGAGGAGACCCTGTCGAAGCTCCGACAAAGCCTGTCGGAATCCAAGGTATGGCTGTTTTGACTTGCCGTTGACTCCTCCCATCAGCGTTGTCAACGCGCTTATTCACTCGAACCCTCAACAGTGATTTATCTTCCCCACACAAAATTTCGCGGTGAATGTGGGCCAAGTTGTTTTTCTTTTGTGTGCACGCAGCCCCACGCGCGAAGAGTCGGAGCTCTCGTTAAATTTCAATTTTGCTGCTAATGTAGCTCGCGCAGGTTGCTAGAGGCTGTACACACAGACAGTCACGAATTTCCTGCCACGAAGACTGATGGCACGGTTTGGAGATTTCTGACAAGCTTTAAAATTCGATTGACGCCTGCCTGGTGGTTCTCTTTTTTCACTAGACAAATTATGCGCAACTGGAGGAGCGTTTCAAGCAGATGACCGATCGACTGGCCGCGAGTAACGAGGAGAAATCGCGACTTGAAGCGATCGTGGCTCAGCTGGAAATGGAGTCCTCTACGATTGGCGAGTACATCACCATGTTCGCCCACCGCCGCCAGCTTCAAGTGGGTTTTCACTCTAATCTGCCAATCTGGAATCCTCCACGCACCCAGTGGAGCATAGTGTTGGTGACTAAGTTAAAGATTTTCGCTGTGGTGTGTCGTCAATTGACCAACATGAGAAAGGCGCTTTGTCCACATCGTAGCTAACAGGCTCCAGAAAACCACTTTACTTGCTTCGTTTCAGTACACATTTTTCTTACAGCTCAAAAGGGCTAGAATAAGGGACGCTCTCCTCGCAAGACTGGTGCGCGATCGGAACGAGTTGCGAAAACGTCTGCAAGCCCTTTCTTCGTTGGCTAAAAGTGTGACTTCTTCCTTATCGGACGAGGACAATTCTCTTTCAGAAAGTAAGAGATTAAAGGAACACGCTACTTATGTATTTTAATAACATCCACTTGACTAATTTGCAAGGTAGTCTTAAGTTGTGTAAAAAACCAATACATTAATTGGTATTCTTGATTTCCCATTAGTGGCCCCTCGCCCTAAATTTCGTACAGATATAGCCTGGTGTTTGCTATCCCTTCCTTAGACCATGTTCATCACCCAACACTGACAACACTCGAAAAGGAGTTGTCAGACTTCCTCGCTGACCTGGACACCTCGTCGCCCCCCGAGGACATCCACAGCGACGACGACGCCGACGACGACGGAGATGTCGAGGCGGGCGGTGGCGGTGGTTTGGAGGGCCGCCACCGACCCCCCACCTCCCTCGACGACCAACTCCGCCAGCTAGCCGCCACGACCCACGACTGCCCCCACTGTGAGTGCTGCTCAGGCTCCCTTCTCGTGGTGTAGGCTCTGGCACGGCTAGTTGGCGTCATCGTCGATGTCTTTCATCAATTAGGCTGTTGACTTTCTTCAAGAGCCCCCTCTTTTCACCCGCCTAACTCTGTTGTGCATCCTGTCCTTTTCTCCTGACGACCCAATTAGAGCGCCGTCGTTTTAATTAAATCCAAAACAGCGCTCTCGCATAATTACTACGCGTTGTCAGTCGAGTTAGCATACTTTTTAGGTGGTACTGCTGTTAACGTATTTGTGAGCTTAGACGTGTGGGTTCAGTTGATCCCGAGACGTGTACCGTTTCCTCAGTGGAAACACAGGGCTCGAGGTTTCCATTGCAATGTGCTGTGGTCGACAGGATGAATCTCTCATTCGACTCACTGTCGGGGTCGCTTTAGAGGCTACTGAAATACGATGTAGGAGTTTTATTTCGTCTAACGCTCTCCCGATTGTAAGGGGGTTGCTTAGCTAAAGCGGCGGGTTGTGCGAAGCATCTAGTCCCCTGTGGAGCCATTCGAAGAGTGCTGTTGGGGTCTGTGTTTCAAGTAGTTGGGCTTGAAGACGTCCTAACCAGTTTTCGTGAGAAGACTCGACTCCTGTGCGTTTTGTTGGCACTTGAAGCGGGACGGGGGATCCACGATTCCCCAAGATTGCTCGTCGTTGGTTTTTGGCGCTATTTGCACTGATTCCCTATCACGTGTTTTATTGCGCTCTTTATCAGGTCAAGGTCAACCTTTTATCTCCTTGCTGCTTGCCCCCCTTGCAATCTAAACTCCAGCATCTGGCGTTGCGAGACTTTGGTTGTGGTACCTTTCAGTTGTTTGAATCTCGCATTTCTCGACTAACGACCACTGTTTCGTAAGTAAAGCCAACTTGCTTGAATCAACAACCCCGCGGCATGGGCCCAGCTGCATTTTTGACAAAGTGCCATATTCTAAAAACTGCTAACCAACCACCTGCCACATCGAATGGGGCTTCTCTGCTTGATCTGCGCATTTATGCAGTGCACTGTTACAAACACTTTGACTAGTGAGGAATTTTGCGGTGCTATAGAGTGGGGAACTTTTGGTGGTTGTTAAAGTTGTAAAAAATAGCTCGCTAAAGGGCAACTGGGAAATGTTGTTTTAGGCTAAAATTACGATGTTCTTGAGAAAGTGCAATGAGAGCTCCACAAGTGAAGGACAAGTCGCCCAAGTCATTGAAACACCTTGGGTTGGGGGCGAAGGCGCTGAGATGTTGTTTGGTCACTAGCAGTGAGTGACAAGCGCCAGTTATTGAAGAAGTTTCTTCAAAGCAAGGCAATGTTTCACGTGCTGCAGGCGAAATACAGGGAAGGCGGCACATAGACTTCTCGGAGCGCGTGAGTTAGGCGATGTCGCATCGTTAGCCTATCAGCACATGAAGGAATTTACGAAATGCATGTGATAGCAATTATTGTGGGAATAGTTTGTGTAATTTGGCAAATTCAAAGGACACATTGAATTCGGCTTATAAGGGAGGTCGGAAATCAGATCCGATCACCTGCTTTCTCAAAGTCCGTCGGAGCGGTGCATTTCTTTCTTAACTCAGCAGATTTGCATTAGTATTTGGCATAAACCATTAGGATGCCTAAAAAGTAGTTGCGGTTTTGACATGTGAAGAATGAGCTCTGACAAGTTACGCATTGTCCTCTTTCCCAAGGATTTTTTTTGTTTGCGCTTAACCTACTTTATTATCAGTAAAATGACGAATTAAAGGTGAAGTATATCAGAATCAAGTGAGTAATCATTAGTACTTTGACAGCGGTCCTTCGAAATAAGCACAACCAAATGTATTTGACAAAACCGAGATTGCTTTCATGACATTTGCCTAGTTGCCTTGCTGTCACTGCATTTTCTAGTGCTGCATTATTTTTTTTTCATGAAAAAATTCATCTGGTTAAAAAATCTGGCTTACAAACTTTGCGGATGCAGCCGTTTGGCAGCGTGACGTGCTGTCACAGTTAAATGAGGTATTTAGAAGAGATTATACTGAAGCTAAGCGGACGGAATTCCTCTGACACGAAGACAGATTTTGATTAGCTAAGGCAGTGTCGAAATTAGAATTTGTTTTGAGTCAACTGAGGACGTCGTTTCTGCGAACTGAGGCAATAGGGTGGCCAAGCGATCCTGTTCTGTGGGTCAGTTTAAGGTTGCGCTTTGGACGGTCCAGCTAAGACGTTGCAGTTACCTGTCTGTCAGTGCACAGGAGAGAGTGGTGTTTCGGGACGTGTAATTCACCCAATGAGACACGGCGTCCAAGTCGAATTCAGAGACTCCTAAAATTAATTCCATGGGCTGAATTTGAAGTGGTACAGGTGGCAGTAAATGTGAATTCCCTGGTCAAAAGTCGTGAACTTTTACCACGTTAATGAATTTCTGTGTTCTTGTT